GCTCCGGGCGCGCCGTTGGAGCGGCGCAATCCGGCGACGGAGGTAATCGCCGTACACCATGGCCCCGGTGAGCCCTTGGGATCGCAGGCCCGCCAGGCGGTCGAGGACGGCGTCGTACTCCTCCCCCAGATCTACCGGCGCCCGCCAGCTGGAGACCTGCGCCGGGGGCTGGCTTGGAAGTCGGAGGCGCGCTTCGTCGGCGAGGGGGGTGTAGAACCAGTCGCTCTTCCAGTCGTCCCACTTCTTGCGGAGGACGCAGGGGATGTAGCGGTTCAACACCGGCCCCCGCGGCTGGAAGTAGCAGCCGCCAACCACCGACGGCGGTGACACCGACTGCACGGTGAAGAACCACTGGAACAGCTGAAGAGAGGGGCGCACCCCAATGAACATCTCGCACAGGTGTGCGAAGATGGCCAATGTCATCACCGCATTGGGGGTGAGGTGCGCCATCTGGAGATCGTAGAACTCCAGGACATCCATGAAGAAATGAGAAAATGGCGGGACCAGCCCAGCCATTGCGAAGGGGAGGAAGAAGATGGACCACCCCGGGTAGTCTGGTGCCGGGCGCCCCTCGCCCAGCATCACTATCTCCCGACCGGTGGCGGACTCCGGCATGAAGCGGCGCGGCAGTCCGGCGTGCCTCTCGTTCACGATGCGGGAAGGCGGCAGTACACTGCCGTCGAGCAGAGCAGAGCCCCGTGCCATGGCGGTGGAGGAAGAGATGATTGGGAACGAGCGCGTGTGGCGAAAGTAGGGCGTAGCAGAGAAAGAGTTAGAGCTCAGGCGGCGAAGGCAAGAGGAACAATGGCGAAAGGAAGGGAGCAAATCCTTTCCTCGATGCTTTTATACCCTTGCCATCGCTGGGCCTGGCTCCTCGTTTCTCGCGCCCACTACCTCGCTCCCTCGTATCTCGCTATCTCGCTCCCTCGTTTCCCGTGCCCACGCTTCCACTAATCCCATTCGCCCGCTTACGGCGCATGAAGTGGATATGCGGTTGTGGCAATCGAAACGGATTGTATCGTGCGCGCGTTAATTACGCTCGCCAACCGAAGCGGCGTTACCGTATCTCCAAGCGAGACAAATCTGCTCACCCAGATTCGCGCGCTGCTCAAGTGATGTGGCGGTCTTGAATAGACCACCCATTATGGACAACCAAAGTTACCAATACCAATATGCATGGATTGAGACCGTTGGGTATTTTGCCCAACTATGGAGACCGGTCCCACCTGTCACCAGGCTTTAGGGGTGGCGTCACACCTGACCGCTCCCCTTGGGAAGGGAAATTGCTCTGGCATAACGCCGGGGGCTACTGTCGGTGATATGGGACCGGGAGTATCATGACCAGAGGCTTGAGGCAGACACAATCGCCCACGTGGCCTGGCACCTTCGGGGACGTCGGGCCCGAGGGTGAGGTGTCCGCCCTCCTCCTGATTTCCCCCGAGGGGGGGTCGGGGTGCGCTTGCCCCGACCCCGAGGGCCGAGGTGCCCCGACCCCCTGAGGGGTTTGCACTATGTACGTAGGTTGGGTGAGCACAGCCGGGCTCACCTAACCGCATTTATTGCGCATCGGCTAAGCGTGTCACGCCGCACGGAGTGCAGTGCAGTGCACTCGATTATCCGGTCTGTGACCAGTCACAGACCGGTCAAATCGCAAGTTAGGTGGCGACAGGCGGTCTGACGCACGCCTTGCCCCATCACGTCAAGGTGTGAGCTTCTAAGCACTCGTCCCCAGCTGGAGCTAGCGTGTTACATCCCAGAGATGGCACGTTAACCCCGATCGATATATACCAGGCTTCATCCTAACCATTACAGGCAAGGTGTTACACAAAGAAGGGCAAACATGCATGTTGTTAAACTGACACGTGGTGGACAAGAATGACCGGTCTGGCACTGATCACGTCAGCAACGGGCAGCCACGATCCCACGTTGCGCCTGTCTCCGCCGGGAGTGGAGGTAGGTGTGGGCTGTCCCATCGGAGTGTCATTCGGACAGCAACCACACCAATCTCCGTCCATAAAGAGAAGAAAAGTCCAGTTTAGAAAGAGAAGGGGGCATGTGGTATCCCCTTGAAGTATAAAAGGAGGACCTTGCCCATAAAGAAGGGGTTGGTTGATTCTTGCCAGATTTAGAGCCTAGAGCGGGGGAGAAGTGGGCTCACACTTTGTAGCTCATTCATACACAAATCCACAAAAACACAGGAGTAGGGTATTACGCTTCGCAGCGGCCCGAACCTGTATACATCGCCATGTCTCATGTGTCTTGCCGGCGAGTAATCTTTCCACATACAGAGAGAGCTTGAGATCTCACCCTAAGCCCCCGGCCGAACCGGCAAAGGGGGGCCTGCGCGGTCTCCCGGTGAGGAGCCACGAGCTCCGTCAGGCATATATATAGAAAAGGTGTTGAAGAAATTCAATATGTACATATGCAGTGCTACACCTGCTCCTATAGTCAAAGGCGAAAAGTATGGGGCATCACAATGTCCTAGAAATCAGTATGAGCTCAATGAAATAAAAATAAAGCCATATGCGTCAACTGTAGGAAGCCTACAGTACGCTCAAGTGTGCACACGACCTGACTTGGCATTTGTTACCGGGTTATTTGGCAGATTGCAAAGTAATCCAGGCCTAGAACACTGGAATTAGTAAAGATTATTTGCAAAGAACAAAAGCCTTATGCTGTCTTACAGAAAATCAGAATCGCTCCACATAGTGGGGTATTCGAATTCTGACTTTGCAAAAGATAATACAAAGTTAACATCGGGATACATGTTTACCCTGGCAGTAGGAGCTATTTCATGGAAAAGCTCAAAACAGACTACCACTGCAGGGTCTACCATGTATGCCGAGTTTATAGCATGCCATGAGGCTACGGGGCAGGTGAACTGGCTAATGAAGTTCATACCCGGTTTTAAAGGTGGTTGATAGTATTGAGAAACCACTAAAGTTATACTGCGATAAAGAACCCACAGTAATGTACTCTCACAACAATTAGTCAAGTGGTGCTGCCAAACACATTGACATAAAGTACTATGTTGTGAAAGACAAAGTCCAGGATCAAACAATCAGTCTCGAGCACATAAGAACAGAAAGGATGCTCGCGGATCCGCTCATGAAAGGCCTACCTCCCAACATGTTCAAGGAACATGTAGCATGCATGGGTTTTAAGGGAAGCCTTATGAATCCTGGACTATAGGGCCCAAAAGTTAAAGTATCTGTTTCTGAATAGAGATGTGTATAGTGGCTGTCGAATCCATCGGTAATTAACCGTGATGATGAAACATGCTCTATATGTAAATCTGTGATGGAATAGAAAAAGCTAAAGGAAATAGTGAGATCAAGGGGGAGAATGTTAGATGGATCTCCCTCCCCTTGAGCCCAACGGCTCAAGGGGGCCTTGACCCGCGCCCTGATCGGGGGCGCCCAGCCCAATGGCTGGTGGGCCCCCGTCACACTGTGCCATATAAAGAGGGGTGGAGGACGGGACGGCATAACGACACAAGGAACGAGGTTCGTCGCCGCCGCCACTCCACCCCATAAACCCTAACCGATCGAGGGGGCGCAGCCAGTGACGGGAAGTCCACCGCCGCGCCACGCCTCGTCGTCGACACCGTCGCTGCTGCAACCGCATCACCGCCATCGGAACCGAGCACATCGTTGCCGCCGTCCACGTCAAGCCCGCGACGACAACGACGATGGCCGGCCGGACTTCCTCTTCCTCAACAACGACTGGTCACAACCCTAAATCCTCTCACTCCCTCTTTGTTCATTCATCTATTGTTGTTCATCCATTGCAAATAGAACCACCCGACTAGATCTAAACCTAGGTGATCCAATAGACAACCCTATCAGTTTTTTTTTAATATAATGGATATTTCCCTGAGAAAATCAAGAAGATAATTGTCTCCATTTGAGAGTTGAAAGAATCATGGGTTTTGTGGTTATTTCACACGTAAAGGGTTGAACTGAACGTCTAGCTTTGAGTTACTGAAACTCTATTTTCTGAAAGAAAAGACAAATACTCGATTCTATCCTCAGCGCTTTCGCAATACTCTATTATTGAGTGCTATATGCCTTCAAGAAGCTATTAAGAACAAGATAGGAGTGATTCAATTGGAGGACGTATATACGATCGAGCTCTCTTGCGTGCTTTGTTCACTGACCTGCTTAGCATGATGGAATCACAACAGTGTTGCATAATCAAGCACGTCCTAGTAGTGTAATAATAATACCAATTGCTTAATTTCGTGACTAATTGGATGTTGCTGTCACAGGAAAAAGAAGAATTTCCAAGCTGAGATTCTCCCCAGGAGTAAATGCACACCCACCTGGTCCCACAGGTCAGCCACACAAAGAAGTGGATAGTATTTTCATCTCATCTCCGTGGATGGATGGTGTTTGCTTGTGAGATTCCTCCCACTTGATTACAGTGACCATTGTGACAGTGAACGGAGACCGTGACGGCAACTGAGAACGAAGGGTTGGATTGGATTCCTCCAACTTTTGAGATAGGCAGGCAAAGTGAGGAGGAGGAAGAAGAAGCCGACCTTGGAAAAGTTGGGAAGTGGACGAGCTGTCGTGCATGGGGCCCATGGCTGATTGCAATTGCCCTTGTTACCTGCTTTCGGCCTCTTTTGTTATTGGTTTGTTAATGCTAATCTTCTCTCTTTGTTTTGCCGTGCATACCTTCTACAGTTCTACTACTATGTGTTAGTATTTTCTTTTGGTGATTTGTACTACTTTGATAAAGATGTTTTTGCCTTAATAGTTTATCTTATCTCGTGATCAGGAAGTCACCACTGACCAATTGAAAAATGGATGGATTCTTTGATTTCTTTTCTTTTGATTATTTCAAAGCTGAGGAATTCACTAATGGGGGAGCAGATGGAACAATCTTCTCAAATAAAAAATACCAAAAAAGTATCTGCAGTATGGCTAGCCCTTTTATTTGGGAGTATGACTTTTGTCAAAACCATAATCACAAAAAAAATGTTCCTGATTGCGTAGGGGCATAGTGCAACTTAAGTTTATTTTCCCCCATCCGTACAAAGTCCAAACAGCATGAAATAGATTGTTTAGGGGGAAAAAAAACTACTACTAGAGGACAAGATAATGCCTGCAGCATTAGAAACCCAACATGATTATTGGAAGCTATTCTTGCCTGCTGACACAGAAATGATGGCCCACTCAAATAAATATGCCGATAATTTTCTACACAGAGAATTCGTCCTGATGAAACGAACTTATCTGTTGATGGCTGGGTGCAAAGAACTGGAAGGAAGCTGAGTAGAACAACTTGGAACAGCCACTGATTACCAGATGATCATAGCACAGAGAATCAGATAGAGGACAAATACACAGCACAAAATTTTATAGGTTACCTAGGTACTCCGTAGACAACAAGATTGTACTAACAAGCTAAAATACTACTAATACATATATGCAGGAATCTAATGTACATGTATCGAAATATATGTGGACTCAAATTGATAGGATAATTTTAATCAAAAGATCTTGTAACTGGCAGTTAGTGTGAGGACAATCATAGAGTAGCCTCTGTCGTTCAGCTTAGCAGCATGAAAAGAATATCTCACATTGAAAGGGACGTGTGAATTAGCAGATACTCTGGTCCAGTATTTCATCTGACAAAAAAAAAATCAGCTATTATTTTACATCGCTGCCTGCCAATTCTTGCCTTAGACGCATCTACGAAAATGATGTCTTAATGTATGAATTGGCCAAAACTGAGTTTTTTCAAGCAAAAGAACAAATTGACATCCAAGTTTACCTCGACAATGATACCCAATGATCCACACCCATGAAGTAATTTTAGTTTAAAACTCTCCATAATACATTTTACAGTACTATTAGAAGTTATAAGGTCACACACAATAAAAGGATCATTTCACATGGCAATCCCCTACAATAGCAGTGCTTTTAACTAGAAGGTGTTCCAAAATTTAATTTGCATAGCTAATCTAATTGTAACTAGAATCCTCTGGTTCTAAATAGGTTCAGTATCACATGCATTGCTGGACTCCAGATGAAGCTTAGGGTTCTTTCAGCAAAGCAAGGAGAAAACAGCATGTTATGAACATAATTTTCTAAAGAAAAGGATATCAGCTTATTGATCAATTGACTCATTCCTGATCATAAAATGAAAATAGGAAAAAATAGCAGTAACTGGACTTATTCTGCTCCAAACTCAAGATTTCTCACCGTACACCCTTTCCATACCTTAGTCTGCCTGTATGGATTGTTGAACCTTCAAAGCAACACCTTGCATTCTAAGTAAAACTGCTAGCTAGACAATGGCCACACTCATTATCTAATTGTTGGGTGTAGCATCCCATGACATGCTATTATAGATGAGTTAGTTTTTAATTAAGGCAATGCCAAAAGGACGTGTAATAATGTAAATATGTTTACTGTTAATCATATATGTTGGTTTTACAACAGAATGTGATTCTCCCTGACCCTTTATGGATTTTATGTGGCATGCATTGCATATTGTTAAAAAATGCTTCAACACTTGAAGTGTATACTTTTCATAGCAGGTTATACAAACATTTGAAAACATTTTTATTAAATAGTAGAAGGTTTGCATGGGCCATATACCAAAACAGTATTTGTGAACCCATGGTCCTTGTTCTGAACCAAGACTTGGTTTCATGATGACACCAAACCGAAGAAAACAAACTGCGACCATATTTGTCCAAACTGAAGTTCTACCTCTGACTCTGAGTTCCATTGAATATTTGCCAATCCATCTTATTCAGCGCCTTAGCAAATTGTTCCTTTCATGTTTCAAGGCACGTAAAAACAAGTATGTACAACCAACAAAATTTGAAATCTGCTCAGGTTTCCAGATCTATGTAGCATACTAGTTCCTTCAAGAAGGTTCATAGTGTTAACTGCACAAAACACCAAACTCAATATACACTTTCTCTGATGTTGCTGTAAAGAAATGCAATGAGAACTTACTTGTATGCCTGTTTGCAGTCTTGAGCAAGACTTGCCTACCACTTACTAGTCCCATCTGCAGCTCTTGTGGAATCTCACCCTGAATAGCCTGACTAAAATGGACAAGCTCAAGCTCAGGCATTACAACATAACATGGGTGCTTTACACCACATGCATACGAAATACCAGATCTGTAATTCTGATGAATCTTGATTGGATCCTGGGACACATGAGGATGAGGGTGAATAACTTGTTACCTGATGATCTAACCGATCCCTACGAACATGTTAACACTGATCATCAACAATGGTTTACTAAAGAATATTCTTGGATGAATCTGAACAATTTACATATATTGAATTCTACCTTATCAACTATTTTTGGTGCCTTTGACTTGTGATCCTTGATGCTCCCTGCTGCTTGGAAAGGATTTCAGCTATAAGTTGCTTTTGGCCAAAGAGTTGGGCATTTCTCAAAAGCAAGTTCCTTGATGATGAGTCCACAGAATAGCCTTGACCAGTCATCCAGTCCAAGAGGCAAAGCAGTAGCTGCTTCTTATCAGGTTTCTGAATGTATCGCTGAATTGCTTTCCCAAAGATATCCTGCGTGTGTAATGGTTGTGTCCACCATTTGAAGGGGTAAGTACGTAAGTTAGCACACCATCCAGCAAAAAATGGAAAAGGACAAAGAACAAAGAAAGGAAAATATCATGAACTAAAAATATGTGGTGTGCAAATGAACTCTTTTAGCTAGCTTATGGCAATCACTTTTTTTTTTGCATCCCTCTGTCCTAGTCAGCTCTAAAAACAAAATTACCAGTTTGAACATCCAGAAATCTGGGGTTTCAACTTCAACTCCAAACTATAACAAAGTGCAAGCAAAGAACAGTCACCTGGCTAATACGCCATCCTGAACGGTGTACTGCTTTCATAACATCGTTAATCAAATTTATGTTGCCTGATGCCATGAAAGATCTAGCAAAATTCCCCAGCGAGCGTCGAGATATGAACTCGGAATTGTCCTGTTCAAATAGCATTCATAGTGAACAAGGTAACAACAGAGATGTCAACACTGAATTGCATAAGTATAGTACCTTAACAACTACGTATGCATCCTTGAGAAGTCCAGCTGGAACTAAGATACATAAAACCTTCTCATGAAGAGATTTACACACTGTTCTCTTTCCATATCTCAACATATTATACACAGAAAATGCTTCAGAAGGAAAACCCGCTTCTCCTAGCTGCATCATTATCTCAGAACAAAGCTCCTGGAGAAGATGTATAGCAATTTTGGTTACTGATATAAACTGTCTATTACTGAAAGTTGATGCAAAGCATGTTGCAAGGAAATGTGCAACTCTCACCCACTCTATTCTGCACATATGTAATAATAGGTAGTCCAAATTCCAATCAGCGGAAATTACCAAGGATGTAAATATGTAGTAACCATGGTTTAATCTAGCATAGAGTTAAGCAGCGATATATTAAATCGGTCAAATACACAACAAGCAACATACCTCATTCAATTGATGGCCCTTTGTATGCATATCTTGAATTGTCTTGTATGCTAGGTGATAGACCTTTGCCATGCAGAAGTACCTTATTAAGGTATTAAATGTGATAGCATCAGGCGATATGTTCGATTCATCCATTTTCCTAAGCATGATCATTACACTTTCCATATCATTGGTGCTGCAGTAAGCACGAAGTGATGTATTAAGCATAACCAGATCATATGTTGCATTCTTGGCCTCAAATTCTTTTGCAAGTTGTTTTGACTCTTCACGATAGCCACCTCGATGTAATGCTGATATCATGATACTGAATGCATAGCCATCTGCAGAAATAAGAAGATAAGCTCCTTAGGCAAGGACAACAAGACACAAATTCTGGGTAATAGCAGGCAGCAGCACTAGAAAATACTCCAGGGAAAAAAAATCAACATACTACTCCCACCAGTTTCATAAACAGGTTGTTTTATCATGCCAGTCAACACAAGTTAATTTTGAGCATAAAAATCATTAAAAAAATAAATGTTAGGTATATGAAAATAGCATAATCAAGTTTTTCAAAACTAGAGATTTCATTATATTTCACTTATGTAACTTCTTTTTTTAATGAGTAAATTTCACAAAACTACATGTTTTATGGTTCAAATTGCAGAAAACCACACACATTTTGACACTTAGCACTTAAGTACATATATTTTGGTAGTTTAGTTTCACAAAACCACACTATCGATGAATGGATTCACCGGTGAGATGACATGGTTGTTCCATCGACGTGGCATACTATTAATTTCGTGCGATGGCTGGTAATAGGATGTCATGTCCTCGTCCTAGGTGAAACAGCCACGTCATCTCGCAGGTGAATCCATTTATCGATAGTGTGGTTTTGTGAAACTACACAACCAAAATATATGTACTTAAGTGCCAAGTGTCAAAATGTGTGTGGTTTTCTGCAACTTGAACCACAAAACATGTAGTTTTGTGAAATTTACTCTTTTTTAATTGATATTTACTCTTTTTTAATTTATGCTAAAGAGCTAGGTGCTCAAAGTTGTGTAATGTTGACTTTGAAAAGCCTAACACAAATCATTTTTTAGACTGGAATGAGCATGCTACAAAAGATTCTTTGTTTACTAAAAGGCTACATAACAAAATTAGAAATAAATGTAACCATAAAATAAATCTTCTGTTACAAAGCACACAATAGATTTTGCACACTAATTTGCATACAGTAAACAGATAATGTGTTGTTAGGAACCAGATATTGAACATCATTATATGCCATCAATAGGAAGCCAATTCCATGATTTTCCATCGACAAAACACATTTCTATTCCAATCATTGACAAGCCAACTTCATTCCTTCCACACCATTGCCTCCGTGTTCCTCCCATTAGAGTGACATTGGTGGAAAAGATCAACTTGCCCTGCTCAACATTGTAAAATCATGCTAGTAGCAGCAGAAACACTAATATTCCCTTTCAGAATTCAAATTTTATTGCAATCCAATCTTTTTAAAATAGAACTCAAATTTTAAATCCTACAATCCAAATTTTAAAATCAGGTTGAACCTGAACAAATATTAAAAATTTTGAAAATAAACTTTTATATTTGTGTATTCTAACATTTTAAATTTCGAATTATAAGGTTTGGTAATTTTAATTTTCAAGTTTTCAGGTATTCATTTTAATTACAGTAATTTATATTCCAAAAATCGGAATGGTGAGCAAGGTAAAATTGGTCATTTTGCAACCTAATGGCAATGGCATGGATGGAATGAAGCTGGTTTGTCAGTAGCATCAACGGAAGATGTGCTATGTCAATGGAAAATCGTGGAATTAGCTCCATGAACTTTCCCAATTACAACAAAAAATCAGAATAGTATCAATAGAGGCACATCAATTTGTTACATTGTTAGATACCTTACCAGATTTGACACCTTTTTCTTTCATATCATTAAATAGAATCATGGCTTCCCATATCTTCCGTTCTTTGACAAGGCCATCAATCAATATGCAGTAAGGCATCTGGGCATAGTATTAAAGGATTAAGGGATTATGACAAGACAGAATAAAGTTCAATTAAAGGAGCCATTCATACATGCATATGAAGCAGCTGTTTTGTGTGAGACCAAATATTTTACCTCATCCTGTGCGAAGCCTGAAGCTTCCAGTTCAGTTAGCAGTTCCCTTGCCTTCTCAAAGAGACCACCTTTAGAATACACCTTTAACAAAGTGGTGAGTATAACCTGCAAATTTAATTTAATTTACAAATTAGAATGGCAACAGTAGCAGAACATTTTCGGTGAACAACCAAAGAGCAATATATGCAAGTTCAGTAAAGAAACAACCAATCAAGATAACATGTAGTTATAGTTGATATGTGGAGACTTAAGAGGCTTTTTAAAAAAAAAATTTATCCTGGAGCACTACATTCCACCTTAACCCAAGCTATCGAAAGCTCTATTCAATACATCACGTGCCAAGCGGCAAGTAAACATGGTACCACAACTTTGATGGAATTTGATGTGCAAGCTTTCTCTACTTAGTGTGAGAATGTTCTTTCCAACCATGGCATTTGTTTAGTGCTTATTGATGGCTATCATAGGGCAGTATTTGTTTTTCATATACATCGACAGGCATCATTCACAGACATTACGCGGTGAAGTTAGAAGGCACTACCGCACTAGTACCAAATAAATTATGCAGCTGGAGAAACCAACTTTTGCACCAAAACACCAACACCATATACTATGCAAGCTACAACCTGTATGTGCTATCTAGCATTTCAAGTCATCCATAGCAACAAACTATCCAACCTGTGGTGTAGGTATGCATTATATCTAATGAGAAATCAATTCTACTGCCATAACCAAAAAGTGAAATAACAAGACTGGGGTCTCCTGCAAATCATAAAACTCAGCAACAGAGTTAATTAATACTCCCTCTGTTCTACATTATAAGACGTTTTGGCCTCTCCATTCTTCGTCTAGATTCACTAACATCCATATGCATTTAGACACATATGAAGTACATATATGAATCCATGCATAAATCTATTAGAAAACAAAATGTCTTATAATGTGAAACAGAGGAAGTAAATAACAAGAATAAGAAGCAAACCTTGTTCGGTGTTAACCCTGAGGACCTCAAATCTTTCATCAACAGATCAGCCTTTTCATAATTAGCATTTTCTGAATATGCATTCAACAGAGAGCTATAATGGAATAGATTAGGCTTGTGTCCTTCGTCCTTCATTTTCTGAAAATATTCCTCAGCCTTCTCGCAGCAGTTATGTGACGCGCATATAGCCAGGAGAGTGCCATATATTACACTATCCATCTGAAAACCACGGGAATTCAGCTCATTAACTAATTCCATGGCCTTAGTGTAACCCTGCTTCAACTTCATGCACCCTGACAGAAGCTAGAAGTGACAAGAGAAACAATTGAAATGCTACACCAACCAAAGTACCAAACTAAATGCTAATCAGAGAAAAAGAAAAGGTCATAGTCCCATACGGTACTGTAGGTGAACAGATCGGGTGATAGACCTTCTCGTATCATCTCATCATAAAGCTTGAAGCTGCTATCGAACCTCCCGTTCTTCACCAAGCACCCGAGGACCGAGTTACAAACGGAGACATGGATCCTTGTCGGGTTTTCTCGGATAGCACCGTACACTTGCAGCGCTCGGGCAGGGTTGCGGCTCAACCCAAGGTACTTGAAGTAACTGCTGTAAGACGCAATGTTGAGCATGTCGTGCTCCTGCATCCACCCGAAGACCTGAAACAAAGTTCAGACTACTCATGCCTCACTAGTCCCATCAATCTCCACTCGCCTGATTGAACTTGACAACCACTGAAGACTACCTTAGATAGCTCATCCCAGCGCCTGGTTTCACCGTAGTGGCGCAGGATTATGTTGCAGTCCTGTGTCTGCAGCACATCCTCGAACCTGTACAGCATCAAAGGTCAGAATTCGCAGAACTAACAACTCCAAATCGAGCAACAATAATCCTACCCCAACACCTCAGTTTCTCTTGTTCCTCCCTCTGAATCCACGTTTCGATATATCCAATTCGCGCGAATTACTACTACGAAGACGAAAATGTAGAATGCTCCGATAGAGCTACGGAGAAGCATATAGTGGGCGGCGCACCTGGTGAGTGCGGCGACGGGGTCGGGGGCGGCCTTGACCTCCGCGACGGCGCTGCGCCGAGGCGACGGCCGCGGTGGCGGCCTCGAGGCCTGCGGGGCTTCCAGCGCCCGGGGGGCGGCGCGGGCGCAGGAGATGTTCCGTCGGGAGCAGCACGCCGCCGCCGCCGCCGCCGCTGGCGTTGGATGAGGAGGAGGGGAGAGGAAGCGGGAGGCGGGGAGCGGCAGCGACGCGGCGGCCTCCATCTCGCCGCCGGCGGGGCGCTGCTGTGTTCGCGGCGCGACGCGTCTCGTCCGTTGGGAATTGGGATAGGGCCCCGAGGCGGAGGGAATCGGGGGATTGTTTTCCCCTTCTGGGCTTGCTTGTATTTGGGAAGCGCGGGACTGGGCTTATGGAGGGATACCGGGCCCGATCCACGTGGAATATTTCCCCGGCCCGACCTTAATAATATTGGTATAAAGACAACAGTTTTTGCTACAGCATATAAGAGTATTTGCCAATATTTTTTTCTCCCAAAAATTCGATGGATATAAATATAGTGCAATCGTAATGTAATTACATCGTAACTTGTATATAACTACAATATACAAGTTGAATGCAACTTTCAAAAATTTTGTGATATCATGCTATTTTCGCCAAGCGGAGGTCTAAGAGACCAAATCCTCTCGCTTGTGTGCGTGCTGTGACTTTTTTCATCTCCTCTTGCATGAATCTTTAAGCAAATTTAAAGATTTCAAAATTACATAAAAGTTATATACCAGTTACGTTGTAATTATGTGTAAGTTATAATATAATTACAACTATTATTGTATTGTATTTACATTTTACAAATGTTTAGAAGAAAATTTATCAACAAATGTATAGATATTCTAAAAACCCCAAATGCTGATTTTCACGGAGGGCGAGAGCTGGGCGATTTTAGGGTTTATGGCCGGATCCAATATGCTTGATCTGTGTTGATCCGCTCGTGATTGGTTTGGTTTGTTTTCTTGAGTTGATTACCGCTACGTATTGTATACGGGAGCGGATCTAATTCTGTTTTTGACTGGGACTTGACCTGTGGTCTTGGGCCTGGTATCGACGTTTTCCTGTTGACTCTCCGGCTGCAAACCCTAGTTTGTTGCAACTCGTCTTGACGGTGGTGGTCTGTTTTCTTCCACAAACTTTTCTCTTCCTGACGGTGGGGGCGACTAAGGGGATTCCAGTGAGGTTTCTGCCTGCCCGAAGCCGTCGGGAAGTTTAGGGTTTTGGAGGTACATACTGCGGCGGCTGTTCTGAGTTTGGATCAATGGCATCGAAGGAGAATAGATCCGAGGCTATGGTTTCGGGGGCTGACGGGATAAACCAAGGCGAAAACTTGGATCCAATTGGTGAGGGCTTGGATGATCATCATGGCAACCTAGATCAGGGTTTGTCGAGCGCCATGGTGCTTTTCAAAAAGAAGCTAACTGATGGTGAAGAGGAAGATGACGATGTCTTGGATGTGGACCTTGGTGAAGAGGTGGAGGAGATGAAATCTAAGTGGCTGATCATTGCTCGCTTCTACTCAGGACAAAGGTACAATGTCAAAGGCTTGTTTGAGGAGATGAGTATTGCTTGGAACCTGACACAACAGAGAAAGACTCGGTTCTTTGGGGGATAATAGATTCTTGGTTGAGTTTGCTTGCGAAGCTGACTACAACCGAGTTGTGTATGGGGGCCCTTGGAAACATAAGGGTGATGCTCTTCTTGTTGTCCCGTATGATGGCCTTGCTAGACCTTCTGAAATCTGTATTGAATCGCTCCCTCTGTGGTTACGGATATACGATCTTCCTGAGATTATGATGACTACTGGTTTCGCTAGGAGTTTGGGTGGAAAGATCGGGGAGGTACTGGAGGTAGGAGGAGCTATACACGACTTCCTGCGGGTTAAAGTTGCTTTTCCGCTATCCTCTCCTTTAAAACCTCTGTTGAGGATTTGGATTAAGGATAAAGGTGTTATGTCTTTTCCAGTGAAGTATGAAAATGTGCCTTTTTTCTGTTTCTCGTGTGGACGAATTGGTCATGCAGAGCGGGAATGCCCGGAGGTGGGATCGTCTAGCGCTCAGGTGCGCTTTGGGAAGGAGCTTCGAGCTTCACCGTTAAAGAGGAAACTTCAGAGTTTTGCTCCCTCTTCAATCTCTACCCCAAAAGCTGCCAAGGTGCTGAATTTTAGTGGTGCCCAACGGGAGAAGGTTCTTACTGCCTCTAGTTCTTCTAAAGCTTCTGTGCTTAGTAATCCAAAGTTGAACAGCGGTGGCGCGACTATGTTCTTGGTTGGGGAGAAAGCGGATCAGGAAGAGAAGGCGGCCAGTGTTGAGGCAGAAGCCTCGTTGTATCCATTGCCGAAGGGAATCACCGCAGCTCTAGAGGAAGGTGTCTCTCAGATGAAGATGCAGTTAGACGATGGTGAGCTGAACTTGGCAGCTCGGGGGCCATGCAGTAGAGAGCGAGTGTCCATGAGTTCAGATTATGGGCTGTCGGGGGAGGAAACACCGCAACATAGTGCCGGGATTGTCTCTGGTGTGGTGAACCAAGATGTAAAGTCCCCTGGCGGGCAATCCAAAAAGAAGCAATGGGTGCCAACTAGGGAGACTGATCGTGCAGTTAAAGCTAAGAGCCTATCCATAGGCAGGGATATTGGCAAACCAAGGAAGATAACTGTCAGATTATCAGCAGATGCAGTAGAAGCGTACGAACGGGAGGCCAAATCCTAGAGATCGAGTTCCGAACGGTCTGGTGGAAATCCTCCTACAGGAGTCCCGGCTAGTGTTGACACTGATATGGTGATGGATAATGGTGTGAAGAAGGAACTGTATGCAGATTCGGGAACAGCTACCCTGGTGGGCGCTCACGGCGAGCCCCACCAGGAACAATGAATGCTCTAGCCTGGAACTGGTCCGTCTTGTGCGGATGTACAGCCCGAGGCTGGTGTTTCTCTCAGCAACCAGACAAGATCAGGAGAGAGTTCAGGGTCTCAGATGGAGGCTAGGTTTGAAGAATTGCCTGGCCTTGAAAGGAGAAGGATCAGGTGGTGGAGTGGCACTTATCTGGGATGAAACTTTATCTGTTCATCTTTTGTCTATGAGCTGCAGGTATATTGATGTTTTAATAAGTGAAGCAAACAGCGGTTTCCAATGGAGGGGCACCTTTGTGTATGGGGAACCAAGGATGCAGGACCGCCACCTTCCAATGCTCCCTAGTTGGTGATGGGTGATTTCAACGAAACAATGTGGTCTTTCGAGCATTTTTCGGCACGACAGCGCCCTGAGCCTCAGACGAGGGATTTCCGTGATGTGCTGTCCCAGTGTGATTTACACGATATTGGTTTTGTCGGCCTGCCGTGGACATACGATAATAAGCAAAAAGGGGACCGAAATGTTCGGGTGCGACTAGATCGGGCAGTAGCCTCTCCTAGTTGGTCTGACCACTTTTCGGGTGCCAAGTTGACGCATTTAGTGTCTTCGAGGTCCGACCACTGTCCTATACTGCTTCGGGTGGAGAGAGAGAAATACCGACCTGTCAAATGTTTCCGCTATGAAATCATGTGGGAACGAGAGGATTCTTTGGGGGAGGCTATTAAGCTGGCCTGGGAGCAGGAAGGTACCGCTTTGAATCTTGGGGAGTGGAGTGTCAGGGTTTTTGGTTCTGTGTCGCAGGAGATAAAGGAGATCAAAGCTAAGGTGGAGGAACTATCAAGTTTGGATCCAATTAACCATGACGGTGAGATTAGGAAGTTGTATGCCCGCTTAGATGAGCTGTTGTATAGGGAAGAAATGATGTGGCTCCAACGATCGCGGGTGTCTTGGTTAAAGGAGGGAGACCGCAACACAAAGTTTTTTCACCGCCAGGCAGCTTGGAGAGCGAAGAAGAATAAGATCAATTGTCTTAAAGATGAGGATAGTAGATATGTCGAGAACAAAGGAGATATGGAAAAGTTAACGAGGGATTTCTTTCAAAAGTTATATGCAAGAGATGAGGGAGTGGATCCTGGTGAGTTAGTGGACTTGTTTGATGTCCGGGTTGATGCAAGTATGAACTTGGAGCTTTGTAAACCTTTTTCGGATGAAGAAATTTCGGATGCACTCTTCCAGATTGGACCTCTAAAGGCGCCGGGCCCGGTGGTTTTCCGGCTAGATTCTTTCAACGCAATTGGGGAGTTTTGAAGCAAGAGGTTATAGGTGTTGTCCGTAGTTTTTTCTCCGAAGTGGTGATGCCAGTTGGTGTCAACAATACCTCCATCATCTTGATTCCAAAGATCCCTCAACCGGAGCAGCTGAAGGATTTTTGGCCGATCAGCTTATGCAACGTCATATACAAAGTGGTTTCTAAGTGCTTGGTTAATAGGATGAGACCCTCTTACATGATATCATCTCACCAAACCAGAGTGCCTTTATTCCGGATAGAATGATCACGGACAATGCGTTGATTGCTTTTGAGTGCATCCATAACATTCAACGGGAATCGTCGATGGGGAAACAATTTTGTGCTTATAAACTTGACCTAAGTAAGGCCTACGATCGTGTCGACTGGGAATTCCTAAGGTGTGTCCGGATTAAAGTCGGCTTCTGTGAAACCTGGGTGAGATGGATAATGACCTGTGTTACAATGGTGAAGTATTCCGTCTCTCTCAATGGTAATCTGCTGGAACCGTTTTCGCCAACCCGGGGCCTACGGCAGGGAGACCCATTATCGCCATACTTGTTTCTTTTTGTAGCTGAAGGCCTCTCGACGATTCTGAACCATGAAGTGGTTGCTGGGCGACTTGAGGAACTGAAAGTTTGTCGAAGGGCGCCGGGGGTTTCCCATTTACTCTTTGCTGATGATAGCCTGTTGTTTGTCAAAGCATGCCCGCAGCAGGTTACTGTGGTCAAACAAGCTTTGTCGTTGTTTCAGCGCTGCACCGGATAGCTTCTGAGCCCAACGAAGTGCTCTTTGCTAACAAGTGCTCACTGTCCTAGTGATGTGATCGAGGAAATCAAACTGATCTTTCAGGTTGAATCTGCTACCTTCGAGAGTAATTATTTGGGTCTCCCTACTCTAGAGGGGAGAATGACGGCAGACAAATTTAAAACAATCAAGGAACGCTTGATCAAAAGACTGAATAGCTGGGCAGAAAAGTTCATGTCGTCGGGAGCGAAGGATATTCTTATCAAGTTCGTGGCGCAGGCAATACCTACCTATGTGATGGGGGTTTTCAAACTTTCGGTGTCATCCTGCGAAGCTTACACTAAACTGGTGAGAGACTTTTGGTGGGGTGACGAGGAGGATAAGAGGAAGGTACATTGGACAGCCTGGGATAATTTGGTTCTCCCTAAGTGCATGGGTGGACTCGGATTTAGAGATGTCAGAATTTTCAATCAGGCGCTACTGGGGAGACAAGCCTGGAGATTAATTCAGTTCCCGGAGAGTCTATGTGCTCGCATTCTAAAGGCCAAATACTTTCCAAACTGCGATCTGATTGATGCAGTGTTCCCAGCTGATACATCGCAGACATGGAAAGGAATTGAACATGGACCGCAACTTTTAAAGGAAGGACTGATCTGGCGCATTGCTGATGGCAAGAGGGTCAAATTCTGGAAGGACCGTTGGATCCCAAGGGAGTCCTCTTTTAGGGTGTCAGGTATGAAAAGTCGATGTCGGCTCCGATGGGCATCACAATTCATCATCCCTGAGGGGAATTGTTGGGACGAACAGCTAATCAGGCGGGTCTGTCATCCTTTTGATGCCGATGAAATGTTAAAGATTAAGTTGCCCCAATTTCCTACTGATGATTTTCTGGCATGGCACTTTGAGAAGTATGGAATGTACACAGTTAGGAGTGGATACCGTGCTGCTCTGATGAAGCAAATCAATACGGACTGTGTCTCTTTTAGCTCGGCTAACTCTGGTAAAAGGCTACTCTGGCGAGCCTTATGAACTGCTCCTGTACCACCAAAGATCAGAATTTTTGCTTGGAGACTAGCCCGTAATTGTCTGGCAACTCAGCTGAACCGGTTGAAGAGGAAGATGGTGAGGGATGGTAAATGCAGCCTGTGTGGTGTGGAAGATGAGGATGGTTTTCATGCCGTTGTTTCTTGTACTCGATCTACAGCCCTGCGTACTGAGCTTCGCTGTGTCTGAAATTTGCCGGATGAGCAACAGTTGTGAAATGATGGTCCAGACTGGCTTCTGATTCTGCTTGATAGACTAAGCCCTGAAGAGCGAGCAAAGCTCCTCCTTGTCCTGTGGAGCTCCTGGTTCTTAAGGAATGACAGCTTGTTTGGTTCAGGTTCATCGACTGTCCATGGCTCTGTCTTGTTCTTGCAGAGCCTGTGGGAATCCATTAGTACCACAAAGGTCAATCCTGTTACTGATATAAAAGGGAAAGGCCCCCAGATGGGTACTAAATCTGCTACTACGGTTGCCCGGAGTAGTCCCAGTGATTTGGTGCGCTGGGAAGCACCGCCGCAAGGATGGGCTAAAATTAATGTTGATGGAGCTTTCGTGCAGCAAATCGGAGAAGCAGGTACTGGAATTGTCATCCGTGATCATGTGGGTGATGTCCTCCTGACTTCATGGAATGGGATCCGAAGCTGTCAGTCGCCTGAGGAAGCTGAAGCTCAAGCGTGCAGGGATGGGCTACGGCTAGCAGCAGACTGGATTCAGATGCCGGTGATCCTAGAATCAGATTGTGCGAATGTGGTGGCTAGCCTTACGTCGGGAGCTAAGAACAGATCGCCTTTGTGGCAGGTCTTCCAGGAAATCAAGTCGATTCTTCCACTTCTTCCTGCTTTTAAGTTTAATAGGATTAATAGGGGAGCTAACGAAGTTGCTCATTGCCTTAGCCAGTTGGCTAGGCGCCTGAAGCAATCTTCGGTGTGGCGTATCTGTGCGCCTGAGTGTGTTAAGGAGAGCTTAGCCAAAGACTGTATCCCTCCTAATCTTTAATTAATAAAGCTCCCCGTTTTCCTCGAAAAAAAAAAACAAATGTATAGATAGACCCGATTCTTGCATTCCTGCTGAATTATTGCCTATCAGTTTGCACCCCCAATGTGCAGCCGTCAGATGCGTGAAGATTGTTTATTAGCTGCATATAATGTTGTCATGTTCCATTTCTTAATCGAAATCAGTAATGCCTGCATCAGTGATGAAAAAAGATACTACTCCCTCCCTAAAAAAACTCAATCTAGGAGGGGTCACTATAAATCTGGACTACCCTTTATCTAGGTAAGTTTTTTTTGGACAGAGTTTTTTTGACAGAGAGTACTCCTTATGTCCTGAAATACGAGAGATTATGATCGGACGAGACGTAATCAGGGTTGCATTTACCGCGGTAAACCGCGCGGTTACCGCGGTTACCGCGCTTACCGCGGGGGTACGGTAAGGGGTAAACCGCGGTAACCGCGTCAAATTCAAATAAATTTGAAAAATAATTTGAATTTTTGATAAATTTTGTACGGTTTGTCGCGGTTTGTCACGGTTACCGCGGTTACCGTGCGGTAACCGTGCTTACCGCCGGGGCGCGGTAACCGCGGCCCCGGCGGTAAATGAAACCCTGGACGTAATATGTTGAGATGGATGGAGTAATTGCAAAGGGCCCTGCCAGGATGCCAGAAATTCAGGTTCGCACAACTTGAGCATGAAGCTGAGGGCCTGTTTACCTCAATTTTTACACCATCAAGTATTAAACATAGTTTTAAAAAATAACTAATTACACAGATTGCGACTATTTTGTGAGACAAATCTTTTAAACCTAATTGCTCCATAATTTGACAATGTGGTGCTACAGTAATCATGTGCTAATGACAGATTAATTAGGCTTAATAAATTCATCTCGCAGTTTACTGACCGATACTGTAATTAGTTTTTTTATTAGTGCGCGAACACCACATGCAACACCCTATATAATATCCGATGTGACACGCCAAAATTTTACACCCCTAGATCTAAACACTCCTTGAAGTAGGATCATGTTTTGATGGTGCAGGATGTGCAAATGAGACTGACGGTGCCAGTAGTTGATGAATCAGACCATATGGATGCCGTTGAGGATGGGGATAGGAATTGCACCCCTGAAGCACTCTGGTGTCATTGACAAGCAACACAAAGGGCAAAAGGTGACCTAAGGGAAATAAGCCGAAGAAAAATTCTAGATATCCAAAAAGTCTTAACTCAAGGCAGAAAGATTTCTGGGGCTCTGCTGGTAATAGAGTGGTTAATCCTGTCACAGAGAAGAGATTGCTCAAATGATGGATGCTACATTAACCAAAATAATTCCATTCAAAGATGAAACCTGTGAATCTCCATTGTTTAGCAGTAAACTAGAAGTAGATGAACTCTAAGCTATACCGGGAGTTAATGAAAAGTGCAAACCTATTACATGTATAGATACAACTAGCCATATTCTCCACACTACAAGGCCTTGTAGTTATACATGTAGCTCCTCAAGGTGTTGATATCTTGCATTGACTCCAGCATAGAGTGGTCCACATAGAGGCTCAATGCAGAAGCACTGCCCAACAATATAGATAAAACGAACAATGTTATTAACAAGAAATGATCCTCTTGGTCTGTGAAAAACAGATAGAAGGAAGCAAGAAAGCATACATCAAAGGGCCAAACGGGAGCCATGCTACATCCCATCGAATTCTCGGTAACCTGTAGCACAAGAGTAAAACCAATCAACCAATCAAATTACAAGTTCTAGCCGTTGATGGTTGGTTAGTACTGTTTATGTGGTCATGCATAAAAGACCATTATCATAAAATGGTAATAACAATGCACAAAGCAAATAGTTACTAGTAGATAATGTGATACCTCAAGAGGTAGTATGTCCAGAAGAGGGCTACTAGTATGCTGACATAGAATGAATACCACATCCACTTCTTCCAGGAGTGAAGTAATCCTTTAATTGAGAATAAACATGCTAGGGCAGCTATCCAATCTGCAATATTCAAGGTAAGGTATTAATCATATCACAAGGGAAGTAATTTTGATTTAGCAGGACAAATTTTATGCCTGTAAGTTCCACATTCTTTTATTTGTTTTGGTATAAAGTAAAACAAGAATTACAGAGGGAATGAGTTTAGATGATGATTAACCAACAGGATCAATAAATGCATCTTGTGTAATACTATCATGCTATAAGTGACATGTTCCCTAAAACTCCGAGTAGAAAATGTTTGCAGACTGCTAAGTCATTGGAAAAGAAAATAGTATGATAAAACAAACAAGAGCAAATTGTAGTTTGCGCATTGCCTTTGTTGCAATTTGGACCACCCCAAACTTATCTTTTCAGCACATCAACGACCTCGAGCGTTTTGGCTCCAACGTGCCAATGAACTCTCACCCATGCACAAGGCATATTTTTGCCATAGGAGTGGTTAGACATGAGAAGAGAAGAGAGTTGGGGTGGTCCAAAGTGCAAAAAAATATAGCAAAGGCAAACTTGCATTTGAAGTTGCTAACTTGAGCAAATAAGAAAGACACAGCTGGCTCAGTGCCATCAGCTATTTCAATCCAAGTAACATGTAGACATTTCATTATCTGTACTTGTATCTAAAACTTCCACCCTCTCTCTCTATTTTTTTTTTACTTTTGTAACAGAGAGAACCTCTGGTTCATTTATTGTGTGCAATGCAAATATGATGTAAGCATAATTACCTGCAACTACGACCATCGGTGATGACAAATCTTCCATGAAATAAGCATGATACCGCTGTACATTAGAGAAGCATGTGTCAAACAACATGACAGAAGCACAGCGCAATGCAATCGCTAGACAGTCATTACAAAGAAAATCATTAATACATGGTATAGCAGATAGCACCAGTTGTGAAGGTGTAATAGTTAGAGTTGTAGTGCTGAATGTCGCAGAATTCAGGCATCGCTGAAATACATTATCCAGCAATGTATGACACATGGATATAAATAAATGCATTCACATGCATATGAAGGACCCCCCCCCCCCCTCCCCCCTCCCCCCTTATTTTTCAACTGCTGGTAAATTGGCAATCCTCAAGGAAACAATTTTGTAACTAATCCAACGCAACCGAACTACGGCATGTGTGCTACCATATGCCAATTCCGAATCTTATGCCAATCAATATCAAGCAATAACAATGAGCTCAACCAAGTGATGTCTAAGCAAAGCGCCATGAAATGGGGAATGGGGGTGACGGACAGTAAGTAAACCAACCAGTTCCCACGGGGCCGCCGCATGGTGAAAGCCGGAGTAGACGAGGAAGGCCGCGTAGCCGAGGAGGAACCCGGCGAAGACGCGCTGCACAACACAACACAAAGGGAACAACAGGCCATGGCCGGGTCCGGGCGTGAGCAGGGAGGACCACCAAACCGAATCGAATCGACGAAACAAAACCCTAAGCCGAACGAGATCGGGGATCGGCAGTGGGCGCGCACCCTCCACCGGCGGCTCTGCTGCGCCTGCTTCTGCTCCAGCGACCGGACCATCTCCTCCTGGTCTGCGCGCAGTCCACGAACGGGGGTGATGACAACGAGAGAGGGTTGGGGAAGGAGAACGGCGCGCGCGTGAGATGGTGCACACCTTGGATGTCCATCGGGATGAGGTCGTCGCCGTCTTCCGCGCCGTCGCCGCCGCCGCCGCCGCGGCGCTTCCACCACCTCCTCGTCGCCGCCGTCGTCGTCGTCGTCATCCGCTCCGATCCTGGGTTGGAGGTCCGAGGTTTCTGATTTGGAATGTGATTTTTGTGAAGTTGGCGTTTCCTTCTCTTGGAAGAGATATTGTCCGGTCGACAATTCAGGTCGACTTTGGCTCAAACGAATTCATATCAATTTTAGAGGATTTTAATTCTATAGAAATTTTTCTAATATAATTTTTTAAATCCTATAAAATTTCTATGGAATACCTCTTATCGTGCAAGTTTTAGGGGAAATTTAACATCAGGTAAAATTCATGGAAAGAATCAAGTGATTTTTTTATCTCTCATCAAATTCCTTTGTTTTTCCTATGGTAATTCTCTGTTTTACACATGTATTTCTATCTGAATCCGTTTTTCACTTGTATTCCTATCTGAATCCTACCCTTTTTTTATTTCTTTGATTTTTTTATTCCTGTGATTCAAAATAGCCCTCAATATACACACCGTGGCAAACAGTAATGGTCTATTCTCCTTTTTTTCCCCTCTTTTAATAATTGATTAATGGAAAATAGCTGCTTCTAATGCATGTTTTGTTGTGTTCACAATATAGACCACCAAGACAGTTTGTCATGCACATATTTTATTTTTTTCCCAGTGTACTACTAATGCACTCCATCAATAGAAAAATAGAGTTTTATTTTTATTTTTCCGATTACACGGAACAAGCACACGCACACATATCACATACCCACGAGTATCCTTGATCCCAAATCCTATTAAAAACACATCTGCATGTGTATAATATTGTCCCTAATATTTATGAGCACTCTGATTTAACCAGAATCCTACTGGAAGCCCACCTACGTAATATTCATGGGCCCTCCTTGATCTCACAAATAAGAGTATGTTCGGATAATCCCCTTCACAAGGTGTAAAATTATTTCCAATTCAATCCCCTCCAATTCCTCGCTCTTTGGATTATCCAGACAAGACAAGCCTTTAAGGGGGCAGAAATTGAGATATGCAAACGCATAGACAACCCAACATACCGCCGTAACTTTCCATTAATATTGAGTTTGTTTCAGCTCACTGCTCTCAACAAAAAACTCATCCGCTGCCTTACTGCCCAATCAGGCACATATAAAGGCAAAATTGGAAAAAGAATTGCCTCACTGTAATGTCGATTAATACACATGCCCTTTTTCCCATTCGGTGATGTTTGCTTCAAGAATTAACGCTCAAGAGGGGTTGAAAGGGCAAGACTTTCGAAATACTTCATGGCGCATCCCCTTCGTGTATCTCTCCCTCTTCAAATAGATCATCATAAGCAACAAGAACACGAATCCTGTCTGCTAATGGTTTGCGTTCAGCTTTGTTATTATCAGGTACATGTGGTGACTTCTCCGCGTCAATTAACCGCTCAGGATCATCCGATACTTCCTTTTCACCATGTGGTTCAATATCCTCGTCAATTAGCGCACTTCCCTGTGAGCTTGCATCTTCATTTCTGCTTGTTTGCGGCCTGCCTTGTTTGTACCTGAATTGCTTCTGAAAGGAGAAAGCAGGTAAATCAATTAATTAGTAATTAAACAGTGGTAGTGGTACAAAGACGTAAACTTGTGATGAATTATTAACAGCTCATAATACAAAAAATACCATCAATAACAATTTACGTAAAGGAGGTTTAGAAATGACTCATGATCAACATAGTTGGCTTGGATAATATAAGTTTGATGGTTATATTTATTTTACGTAAAGGATAGTAATGAAAGCACTAAAAGCATCCAAATGGAAGGAATGTTAAGAAAAACAAGCATGTTCATGACAGTGTCATACCTCAAGCTCCCTTCCCTTCGCCATAATTTCCTTATATGCCTTTGGCTCCCGTGACTTCAAGATGTTCCACAGGATTCCACCACCGGTGCGGAAGCGACTTCCATCAGCAACAATCTGGCCTCCACACTTCTGGATGGCCTCAACCTGGAACCCAATGGCTTTAATAATAATAGATAACAACTTCAGAAAAGTAAAACTAAGAATATTACATACTATTCACCACAACTGTGATTTAACATCACCTACACCAATTTATCCATAACTCGAATGATTTTTGGGCAATCTAGACATTTCATGTTTTTCTTACATACAATCTGAATTATATAACATATACATAACTATGAACAGAAACTTAACTGCAACTGGATTTGCCACCAATCAAGTACGCAGATTGCAAATATTATTCAGACTCTTCTGAGAAACGCCAAACTTCTCAAGTACACTTAACAAACTAATCCATGTAACTGCAAAGAATCAGGGCAGTGATATTTGTAAGAGTAGTGGGCAAACAGATGTCCTATGTAAGGCCATTTGGCCAATACCTACCAATCTAGGAGTATCATGGAGGCATGATGGGACATTTGAGAGGTTTAGACAGTAGCTTACACCAAAATAATGTTGCACCAAGTTTTAACTAGTCTAAACATTGATCAGTATACTTATTTAACTATTCCGTGTAAAAATTGCATACCTCTCTAACAAGATCACTGATAGCAGAAACACCAAGGCAGCCAACAGCATTCCAAACAAGATAGGACTTCTTCTCCTTCAAGCGCTTGCAAGTTTCATTAACAAATCTGCCAGAACCATGCAGGATAAGCAGTTAGGACAAGAAACAGAAACCATGACAGTAAGAAGCAAATGCAATTCTCTCAGCAAGAAATAATCATAAGAGAAGCCAAAACTCATGTATCTTAGCAAGCCTAGCCCTCTTAAAACTCCAGTTTTTTATAGCCCTCTTACAATTTTTAAAACAAGGGATAGACGTTTTCTCGCACAAAATGCAAGTATCAGTCTGAATCTATTTTATATCAACTAAATTAAAACAGAAAACTGCAGTAGTAGGGGGCATAATTGAGTTAACGTCAGTAGGAAGTCTCTTTCTCGCACAAAAAAATTCACATTAACTATCATAGATACAATTGTGGCACAAGTCGATTTGGGTTTACTGCTCCCGACGATTGTGGACAAGCCAAAGTTAAAAGAGCTCATAAGCATCAACCCAAACTAAACCCTAGGTTAGCAGAAAAACGAGGGTTTATACCTGTTAATGTCGGCGATCTTGGGCGGCCCGTCGGGCTTCCCCTTGTTCTTCGTCCTCGCGGATTTCTTCCTCTTCTTCTTCTTCTTGTTCTTGTTCTTCCCCGCCTGCCCCACGCCGCCATCGCCTTCTCCTCCTCCTCCTCCTCCTCCGGTGGCGGCGGCAGTGGGGGCGGTGATGGCTACAGGATCCTCCTGCGCCTGCGCCTCCTCTACGGCGTCGTCCGCGTCCGCCATCTCGACGTCATCGCCGTCGTAGTCTAGGGCTTCCTCGTCGAGCACCGCGTCCAGGACGCTGTCCCCTCCCTCCATGCCGGCGCGGGATCCTCCACCACCACCACCACCACGATGGGGCGCCCCGCTAGGGCACGAGGTGACCCACACACGCTCTCGGTGACCGTCTCCTCCCGTCCTCTCCTCGCCGCCGGGCGTAGGGCGAACAACGATGGCGATGAAGGAGAGCGCAGCGGAAGCGGCGGCGATGGATGGAGGGGGGAGGAGGCGCAGCGCAGAGTATGGAGGCTTTGCTCCACCTTTGGTTAGGCCTTGTGGGCCTGCTACTGGGCTGCTCGACCCTGATATGGACTATGGAGCAGGATACCGACTTCAAGATTTAAGCTGGTTCCAACTCCCTACTCTTGTTTTCCACACACACGCTTTTCAAACTAACGGTGCGTTTTTTATAAAAAGTTTTTATACGAAAGTTGCTTTAAAAAATCATATTATCTATTTTTGAAAAAAATTAACAAATACTTAATTAATCACGTGCTAATGGACCGCTTCGTTTTTCATGCGCGGTGTTTGGGTTGGGAAGTGGCTCTAGCAAACACGCCTAATAGGATATACATCTCCCGCTCCAAGATTCATTTTACATAGTATGTCAAAAATAAAATATTCATTTTACTTAGAGTTAGAGCTCAAGCAAACAATTCAAATTCATCAAAAATTAAAGCAGAATGGAGTGGATCGCTCCCAAAAAAAAATTATACTGTCGAGTTGGAGCGGCGAAAATGTGGCTCCACGGCTCCACTCCGAAAATAAATAGTGCTACGCATCACTTTTCATCAAAATTACATGAAAACCCCTTTTCCCACCATGAATTTGCTCAGTGGCCGCTGGCATCGATTGACAGCACAGGCGTCTCTCCGATGGAGGTGGTGACATAAAGATTTGGAGGTGGTGACATAAAGAAAAGAAATCACAGCTTAGTGACAAAAGTTATGGGCGGAGGGGGTAAAAAGTGTCAACAGGTGACGGTAGAAAAATAAAGAGCGATTCGCACTTTGGACCTACATTTATTACCTAAGTTGTATATTGGACTAGGTGATATCAAATCTTTTCATTTTAGACCATATTTGTTACCACGCTTTGCACCTTGGACTAGTGAGTCCACACCCCAATAACATGGTCCTTACATTAGTTCATCCTCCTCTAGTCCTTGTACCTGATTCAAGGCTGCTCCTGCAGCCTCTCCATTGGCCCAGCTTATATTTTCCTGGCGTTGGTGAGATCTTTCAAATTCCCTGGGTGAATGAGCAAAAGCCCCCGGGTTAATGAGCAAAGCACAAAGATCTCTCATTTTCCAATTTTTGCTTCCAGCCTACAGTGAACAAGCAAAGACAGACATCTCATTTTTCATTTTTGTTTCCAGCTAGTAATGAGCTCGATTTGCTCTGTGTCACGGTCACCCTGCTCAGATCATATGCTGGCTCTTGGAGACGAAAGACATGAGATCTGGAGTAGAACGGGCCTAAACTGAAAAGTTATGCAAAGATAACTAGTCTAAAGTGAAAATTATAGTTCAATCCTAATCCAATATGCAACCATGGTAATAAAAACTGGCCCAACATGTAATTCACTCACAAAAAAATGTTGCTTTATCAATATAAATAACTAAGGTTAAGAAATAGGCTACGCTGAAAAAGGTCGCTAAAATCAATTACAAAATTAAGTTCCAAAATTTAAATTTTAGCTGTAGCTAATAAACCAAATGCAGAATGATACTTTATCAGCCATAAAAGCCGATAAGAACAAATATTAAGACAAGTAGAGCTTTACTGTATGCAACAAATTAGTATAGGCACTAAAGGCCATGAAAATGAATACATCTTTTACGGCAAATTAAGCGCACATGTCCAAGATAGCCAGACATTCTACGGAATATCACTGTGCAAGTACATGGTCAGACATTGTGCTAATCAATACACTCAAATGAGAGCCAAAACTGTAACATCATGATCATTGATACAAGTTCTGAACAAACGCATTTTTTAGAAGTATGAATAACATCCAGTAGTGTCTGAAAGCAAGAAAATCTTTGTTGATTCCTCATCTAGCTCAGATAGCATCTCCCTGTCAAGAGAAGACCCAAATAAAAATAAAATCAGATTATAGTTTTGCACGTGTTAGAGAAAGGGGATTGCTAGAGCCTAGAGGTAGAGACGGACCTTTGAATTTGGATTATTTGATTTGGAGTCGAGCAACTTGTTTGCTATCCAGCTTGAAAGGAAGGAAATCGATTCCACCCATGTAAGGCTGCAATGCTTTTGGAACTTCGACACCATTCTCCTTCTGGAAGTTCTCCAAAATACAGCAAAGGGTCCTCTCAGTGGCAGTCAATGTTGAGTTCAACATATGAACGAATTGCTTGGATTGCTCATCATTCTGCAATTTGAACATCAAATCAGTGGCAATAACAGATGACTTTTAAGATAATTTGATCTACCAGCATCCAAGTGAAAAGATACCTTTTTCTGGCCATAACCTATACCAAGTCTCCTTGCTTGAAAATCTGTGCAATTTGAGCAGGACACTAATTCCCTATAGGTTTTTGATGCAGGGAACCATGCTTCTAAATCATACTTCTTAGCTGCAGCATCATTAAGAGCACCAGACACAATGGAGACAAGTTGGTACGGTAGGCCAATCTGTATAATAGACAATGAAGAAATGATTAGACATCAAAAGACAGTTCCGCATGTAACAAGGTGCTTAAGATGTGTGAAGCTTCCGATGTCTACCTCCTTGTAGAAATCTTCTGAATTTTTTATCATTTCTTCATGCATCTCCCAGGATTCATTGTCATTTGGACTTGTAACACAGAATTGCTCAATCTTTTCGAATTGGTGGACTCTGAAGATACCAGCCGTGTCCCTTCCATGTGAACCAGCTTCTTTCCGGAAGCAGGTGGAATATCCAGCATATCTAAATTGGCAAAACTATCATCAAACTGCTAGCGCACATCAACCAAACCAAACTACCTAAATTTAGACATTACCCACCTAATTGGCAATTCAGCAGGATAAATTCGATCACCTAGATGATACGCACACAGCGGTTGCTCGGATGTAGCGATGAGATACTTTTCCTCTCCATCGCCTGTTAGCTGTCAAATGCAACTATTTGTTATGAACTTGTTACATTAAAGAAAAAAAACTGACCTCATACCACTGAAATTACACTTGATCAGACTGAATGTATCATTTCCGGACTGCTTAACTATAATTACTGCAAATTCGTGAACATAGAACAGCAAAAGAATATATAAAACATAATTTAATTCATGAAAACATTAGAAACCACAACCACGATTCTCAATACCAATGATGTATAAAACCAGAGTTTCATTTGACTTGCCTTGTAAAGCTCTTCGTCAAATTGGGCCAACTGGGCACATTTTCCCATGGTTTCCTTTCTCATGAAAAAAGGAGTTTGCATTGGCTTGAAGCCTCGCTTTCTCAGAAAAGCGAGTCCAAAATTTATCAATGCCAAGTTCAGTAGGACACCTTCATCCTTTAAATAGTAACCCCTTCCACCTGCTACATCAGCACCTGCAAAAATTGGATAGGCAGTAAGTAACCTATAAATTTGAGAGACCAGGAAAAAATGGCAACAGTGGGATTCTGTGAATAGATCAAAGATCATTTTTAATTTTAATCAAAGAGTGAGCAATTATCCATATTTCTAAATGTTGGTATTCTACTATTCTCCCATCCTTGGAGAGGTATATACCTCCCTATTGTTCTAGTGACAAAAAAAAATAAATTGATTAAACTGATTAGAAGATAAATTCATGATTGGTAATGACAAAGCATTTCTGATTCTTGGGAAGAGTACATAGAGGTATATATACCACATATTGTTAATTACTCCCTCCATCCCAGTTTAGAGGGCACATATTACTTTTTTGTTAACATCCCAAAACACAGGACATGCTGGGGCTTTCAGCCAAAAGTGCCCGGCTAATTTGCATGCATGCATGCGAGCGAGGAGGTATTGGTCGAATTAGTTGCGTGTGCAATCTGACCCCGGTTAAATTGACCTATTGGTTTCATGCATGAGGAAAGGAAGTGCTTGAACTATCTAGATTTAATAGGGGTAGATCAGGAAGAAAATAAACTGCATGCAAGCTTCTTGGTCTTAGCAAAATACTATGTGTGCCCTGTAAATTGGGACAGGGGGAGTACGAGGTATATACCTCCACCTTGCAGATAATATACCTCCCGACTAACACATGTACATGTTACAAAATAAAAATTCAAGAATATTTACAAAGATGAGTTTTCAACCTTTATTCCAACTTTTAGCATTAATTTTGGTAACCCTGTTGTATATATCAAGTATGAGGTATATACCTCTCCAAGGATGGTAGAAAACCTCTCCTAAATAACAATTCATTCTAAGATTTTGGGCTTTTATACTCTAAACAGAAAATAGAAGTATATCTCAAGGGAAATGCACAGACAAGCAATCGACTATATCTTCAGATACTCCATATTATGTTAACTGGAAATGATAACAAAAGAAGAACAAAATCACAAGCAACTATAATGGAACCTCCAGCAGAAACAAGCTATTCTGGTAACTATCATCAAGGAAAGTATTATGCTTTGAACTTTGAAAAAACCAAAACCAAGCAACCATTTTAGAATAAAAATAATTCAAATGAGAGAGAATTATTTTACCATATACCTTTCTCCAAAGCTACTATGTCAAGCATCTTACAAAGATCCACGTGATTCTTCAAATTACCCTCCAGCCTCCTCTCTCCCCATGTCCGTACAATTAAATTGTTAGCCTACAAAGAAAGAATCAATCTCTATATCTAGATATATAATTTCAGAGGAATTCAGGGCATCTGTTTCGAATTTCTACAATTGGACATAGAAAAACCACAATCGATGAACCTAGCATATCTCAATCAACGCAATGTTGTTCGTGTTACTAAGCCATACTAAAATGGAATAGCAAAAACTTTTTAATCCACACAACTATAGGGTTTGCGCTGAACAGCTGTTCTACTGTCTCTGCATTATAAACAAGTGCCGGGAAACCTGCAAATCTAACAAACTTAACAGACCAAAAACTGTGCTAATGATCAATAGTCACGAAATCTAAGCATTCCACTTTTCAACACACCTCGTCATCGCTGACAGGGACGGATTCATGCACAATGTTTCCAATCGTCACGAGCTTGGCATCGAGCGTGCCCTTGGCCTCCTGCACCTCCGTCTCCTTGGCAGCCAACCTCTTCTTAATCTCTTCCGTGCTCTGAATCAGAGCCGACGCGTCCTCCTTTTTCTGCACAGCGGCATGCTCACCGTCTCACACGCAAATAAAAAAAAACCGCAATGTGGCCACGAAAATGGATCGGATCGAGAAGAACGTACAGCCTTGAGCTTGCCGATTTCCTTGCTGGTTTTGTTGAGCTCCTGCCGGATTTTGTCGAGCTCGAATTGCCCTGCGGCGAACAAGCATAACTAGTGGTCAGGGAAGGGACGGCGGATTCGCAAGGGGTTCGATCCCGCCCGGGTGAGTGAGAAGCCCCCTCTCTCTTACTCTGGCGCCACTGGTCGTCGAGGGCGATGACCTCGTCGACGAGCTCGACGGAGGCGGAGCGGTTGCGCTGCGACCTGCGGATCAGCTCCGGGTCGCCGCCCTTCTCCGTGCGGAAGAGGTTGATGTCGAGCATCTTCGAAGGCGTGCGGCGGCGGCGGCGGCGGCGAGCAGAGAGGGAAGGGTAGACGAGGAGGGTTTTGCAGCTTGTGCGGCTTTCTAGGGCTGCACACGGTTTTGACTTTTACGAGGCGGAGGCGCTCGGAGACGGCGGCGCGAGGCGATGGCGACGGCGCGAGGGGGAGGAGGCGGGAGAGGGATAGGGAGCGGCGCGGGGCTAGGGTTTGGGTGGGGATTTTCTTTTTCTTTTTTTAATACCGGCTAGAGGAAAATGAAGAAAAATAATTCCACGTCCATTCATAGGGTATGTTTACTTCACACTAAAATTAGTTTGGTTGAAATTAAAACGATGTGACGGAAAAGTTAGAAGTTTATGTGTAGAAAAATTTTAATGTGATAGAAAAGCGGAAGTTTGAAGAAAAAATTTGGAACTAAACTTGGCCATAGAATACTACTCCCTTCGCACTTTTTCTTCAAACTTTCAACTTTTCCATCATATCAAAACTTTCCTACACACATAAACTTCAACTTTTTTCTTCAAACTTTCAATTTTAGTCAAACTTTCAATTTTGGCGTGAAACTAAACACACCCTAAATACCTATGATTTGGCCTCAACCCTCCATGTAGGAGATTCTTCTCCACGTGCACATATATTGTTTCCCCCGATGCTCTTCATTACCCTGTGATAAACAGATGGCTTTTATCAGAAAGCATGCGAAAAGCATAAGAGAGAGGAAGGTTGACGATGATGACTTGGGAAGTGCTGTCGAGCTCCATGTCGTCCCCGCCCTGCCCCGAGCTAGATAGAGCCCACAAACAGACCGGCGAGGGGGAAAGGCACGGCGGCGGCTGGAGTGGGGACAACATCGTCGGATTGAGGAGAGATGAGGTCTCGTGACTCGGGTTGGCAGCGACCTTCGCGAGGAAGACAAGGTCACACGGCTTTGGTCGGCAACGACCTCCGCAAGGAAGACGCGAAGGAGGCGAACCGGCGGCGGAGGCGGTGGCGGTGCGTGAGAAGAGGGGAGGCCAAGTCTGTTACACCAAGCTCCATGTCCGTTGCCACCCCGAGCGCTAAGTCCGCTGCCGCTAAGCTTCCATGTCCGTCTCTGCCGAGGCGGGTAGGAGGGGGGGTGCCGGCGGGAGGAGGAAAAGGTGAGGTGGCGCCAGCGCCGATGGAGGGAGGATGGGAGAGGTGGTGCAGATGACGGCGTAGCCACCAATGGAGGTCGCGAGGAGGAGAGAGGAGAGGGGATCGGGTAGGGATGGTTGGGAAAGGGGGATGGGTTGGGAAAGGCAAAAAAGAGAAGATGAAAAAGTGTCTGCTAGTGGGACGGTGAGTTGTTTTATAGGAGTTTTATCCAATGTAGCATCTGGGTTCGATTTTGCACCATGACACATTGTGAATGGTCTAAGGAGTCCACGTATCTGATATTTTTTATATTTATTCTGTTTCTAAGATTATTATTGAAGTAGCTTGGGATAAGGTTTATAAGTTACTTCCTTCATCTCAAAATATAAGAACCATAATACCGTATGGGACATTTCTTAGGCTGTCCAGATTCGTAGTACTAGAAAATGTTCTATCTTATACTTGGGTTTTATATTTTGGGATGAAGGTAACAGTACTTCCTCTATCCCATAATATTAGACATGGTCAAACATGGTATGGTCTCTAAAACTAATTTTTGACTCATAATTTCTTATATATTATAAGTTTTGTAGCAACGAAATTATAACTATCTAAAAGTAAATTCAAATATCAATCCAATAATATTATTTTTAGAAAAAAATAATTTATATTATATTAATTATTGATTAATGTTTTAAATTTGAATCTTAAAATATATGCATGCCTTATATTACGGGGTGTAGAAAAGATGGCAAACATCAATTTGATCAATAACAATGACGTGTGGATATTCGTTCTCCATTTTTATTGCCCATGCCCATACATAAGAGTCTTAAGCAGATGTTTACATGCACTTGTAAAACACACATGTACACAACTGCGCCACTCGCCATCTGATCATCATGGCATTTTGTTTTCATGCATAATGTTGGTGTGCTCATCAATCGTGGCAATACATCTACCGCAGGATCAGAAGGGAAATAATACCGCCACAGGCCTCCAGCAGTAGCATGAACCCACTGCCCTACCTGATCCTACTACCACATGCTCCACCATTAACTGCCGGGACTGCATAGTTGAAGACTTGAAGCTGTCCTGGACTCTAGGAGGTTTAAATTAAACAGTTGTGACAATATCCAAAATAACCCTCATTGCCGTAACCCTTATCTCCGTAGGGAGCGTATCCTATGCACACAGGCCCTCGCGTGTACACACTGTGTACACCAACTAAAAATTATCACAAAAAATTCTAGGAAAATTCATACATGTACTTTTAATAGTATTACATCTACGTGCAAAGTCGCATCTTCAAATTCATTCTACATAGAGAATAACAAAAAAGATAAAATTCTGACAAAATTGCAACCTTAAAACTGTCAGATTTTTTTTTGTTACGGCTAAAATATAATGAATTTGACGTTAAGATTTTAACCCTAGGTGTAATACAATTGAAAGTATGTGTATGATTTTTTCTAGATTTTTTGGTGACATTTTTTAGTTGGTGTTCACGTGTGTACACGTGAGGGCCTGTGTGCATAGGATATGTTGCCATCTCCGTAACCCTTATCTCTAGTGTACTCTAGTCTTTTTTTTTTACCTCACCCCTTAATCTCCATAAAAAAACACCCGACATTGCTATATTTCGAGACGTTTTTATACCTCACCCCTTAATCTCTGAAGTAGCTATATTTTGAGACGGATAGAGTAGTTGGCAATTATTTTTTAATTTGAGAGTTTATATGCCCAAATGTATGTTAGAAGTGCTTAGGTATGTTTGGATAAAATATATTTTTGAAATTTCATAACAACTTTGGATGGAGATAAACTTTACATAAAAGGTTGTACGGCTCGATGAGAGCTACAACTACAAAGGTTGATGCCATTTTCATCTGAAATCACTTATTAGAATGTCAAGTTCTCAAACTATTAACTATTGAGAGTCTAGTATAGTATGCCAGCAAGAAGTGTCTTACACAGTGAGACGATAAGGATATTACATATGGAGAGAGGGTATACTGGATTTGAATCCCATGCACCATGCGTATTTCACAAGATTGCGTATTCACCTAAACGACTACGAATTCAATCTTGCAAGCACCAATTTCTCCGTGTTTACTCTTTCTTTACCTCGTGAAAACAGGCAATCACACGCCCTGCTTCTGTCTACAGCATGGTTACCCAGGTAGTCAGGTTACGACGGTAGACACTCGCATTTCGTTACCGCCTTGCAAAGTGAATTCACGTTCAAACTGAACAAAATTAGCAAGTATCACATTACCATTGAACTGAACGCAATATGGACATGAAGTACAGACAGTTAAGACTACGGTAAAATTGCACAAGCCATCAACTTTTGACGATGTAGTCAGTATCGACAGGTACACGAGTTCTGCACTCAGAAGTCAAGCTACTACTGGTCTCCAAGAGCTGGATTGTTTTATTAGTAGAGCTGAAGGTCATCACAGCTGATAGCAGCATCCAACACCGATCTGCTTTCCATGCTCTTCACCGAAGAAAAAATTGCATGTAGAGTTATTACATTGCCATAGCCTCAAAAGGAACAGTACGAGTTTGAGTGATTTGGGGCGTTGTCGACTAAGATTTATCTCACCTGACATGCCTACTCAACATGCGAGAAACCACCTCCAGTCTCAGACTTAGTTCTGCATCACAGAGGGAGATATAAGAGCTGCCTGATATTGGAAGCGGGAGATGCTAAAGAATAATGACAATGAGTTCAACAAGACATTTGCATGGAAACAGAGTGTTAGCACTCAGGAATTGGATGAATTAACTTCAAGTACTAAATAAAAGTAACTCCCTATTCATTTCGTAAAAAGTTTATTCATTTCGTAAAAAGTTTTTGAAGACAAAAACTCCTGGTTATAATTTAGAATCAGAAAGGAGCTACAAGTATCAATGAAAACATTGGTTAAGTATGTAATGCTGTTCAATTAGCAATTCAAGCTTTCAAACTGGAACAATGCTAGGAACATAAAAAATCTTGATATATTTATTGGGAGGATGGGAACTACATTAGTTAAATCACAACCTTCAGACTCGTTAAAAAGAAAAGGAGACCAAAGCGATGATGCAACTATTAGAGTGATACACTGGCAAAAACGTTGCTGTGTGAAGCATATAACAATATGCAGCCCTTTCATAATTTCACTATTTTAGAAATGGTAGAAATAACAAATAGTCTCTTTTTAAAAAAAATAAATGACATGAGTAGTTTCAAATCATAATAACTTACTTGTGATCAGATGGATTAGGCATTATTTCATACACAATTGTGGCCACAACATCCCTTTTGTTCTGCAATTGGCAGAATTTTGAAATCAAAGCATCAGCACGATATCCAATTACCTTTTTAAACTAAATAAGCAAGGCTTTGGTACCTGAGTAGCTTCACCACGCAACCCAATGTAATATATCTTAGTTGTGTCACCTCCAAAGTTCTCAGGGAAATGTAGAGTTAGGTTAGCCACACCCTGGAACCTTGAATACCTGGAAAAAGCAGCAAAATCATATAAAAGATAGGGCAAAAGTTAAGCCAAGCTGCTACGCGTTGAGCATACATAAAGCTTAGCAGTTAAAAAAAAAAGCAAGAAAGCAAAGCAATCTGGTGCATAACTCTACTACCTTATTTGCAAAGTGTGAAATTTCACTACCGTCAGTGCAAAATAACTCTACTAGTATCGGTTCACATTACCATCAATGAAAGCATATAATGAATTTCAGAGTGCCTAGCACCAGAGTATTGCGTATACCCACTAAATTTTGCCCGCCTAATGGAACAATATTCAGAAACACACTTTTTTAGCTTGAAAATTACAATTTGACTGAACGATTCATGAATGTTAGCAAGACCAGCATACTAGACCAGAACAAACGGGAAATGGAAAAACCTTGTTTGGTACTCAAGAACTCCCTGCAAATTCTCTGCCAGCTCCCATTCCTAATCAAACAAATACCACCTCAAATTACAGCTGATATCTTCTTATTATGGCATGGATAAGACGAGAAGAAAATTAAAAACCACACCTGCACAGGTTGCATATTTTGAGCATCATTGAAGTCAATGCCTTCTCGGTTGATAAACCTGTAACATATGTCAAGGTATTCTTAATAAATTTTGTACCATTACATTCTGTTAAGAGGGACAAATAGATGAGTCAAGTAACAGAAAAGATAGAGCTCTGAGACTAACGCTCTCATTCTAGAAGGGCTTGTTCCATCTGCACCACCAACAACAGAGATGCTCTTGATCTTGACGTCTGATGTAAACCTACAACCAAAGGGTACAAAGGATTACACAGATTTATAAATTCTGGATAGGCATTATAAACAGAATAGAAGGGGTAAAAACCCAAGTCTTACCTCATACACAAGTCTACACAGCAAGCTATGGAGAGCAAAAATAGATGTATCAACAAAACTAAATGTATCTGGACATGAACTTTCTGCAAAAGTAGAGCACAAGAAGCACTGACAAGCATATTGAATGATCGTTATCTCTGCTTTTTCTAATTCGGACCGAGCACTACTTGTTTTTTCCAGGATAATATCCTAATGGAAGGGGGAAAATGTTTTGGATGGGTCTATAGCATCCAGTTTACCTATTGAGGACTACCCTTTCACAGCATATATACAATTCATGGTGTGCAAAAGCTGGCTTGCAGTTGGCGCAAGCATGTTTAAAGAGCATTGAAGCTTTCGCACAAACAATTGATAGAAGGATGTGCAAAAATAATCCAAAGGAAGCGCAAACAGACTGATAAATGACTGCTGGGAATATCTATCAATTCAACATGCACAAGATCTAGCCTGGAGTGAGAGCTGAGTACAATAACACTAACCAACAGGCCTGGAGTGAGAGCTGAGTACAATAACACTAACCAACAAGATGGATGTCTATTTCCTTCACAGACATCTTTTTAACTTAATGGCTGCTGGGTATATCAATCAATTCAACATGCACAAGCTATACCTTGTAGTGAGAGCTGAGAACAATAACACAAACAAAGGATGAAAACTAAAAGTCCATATGCTACATGTTCTTACTAATGAAACATCAAACAGTTTTGGTCTAAACACTACTGCAGTCCTGCATTCAGAAGATGATTGTACGAAAATAGTTCAGGATGTGGTTGTGTGTTCCTTTCGAGCTTGTACACAAAGCACCAATTGATTGGAGTAAGAAAAACAGTGGGGAAAACACAGATATATGATATATCTAATTAGCAAGTGGCATACTTACGGGATGAAAACAAGTAACTCAGGGTCACCCTCATTACTCTCCAGAAAACCCTGGTGCAATAAGGTTTCTCGTAAGAATGCAGCGCAGAGATATGAAAGGAGTGTCAAGAAACAGGATCTATGTTGAAATCAATACCATGGGCCAAAATTTCCAGCTCGCTACTACACAGCTTGCAGAATTAAATAATTTTGAAAAAAAAAACAGAATTAAATGATGAAACCTTATACAAGCAGAACGCCGATATTGAAGGTCTCATGCAGAAGAAAGGGTTTGTTTTCTCCATATCATACTATAATATACATATCAAAATATTTTTATACCCACCCTGCTGGCCTTCTAACACTACATTCCTGCTTGCTTAATCATTTATGAACATATAGCCTTTTTTTTCCTTCCCTAACTATTTTATATCTATTTTATACTGTCTTTCTATGTGGAAAGAAGTGCAGAACTGACTAGTATCTAGTATTTAGGAGGACAGCTAGTTTCCTTCATTGAATTTTAACACAAGAAAAGAAGTATATCATTCTCACTGAGGCGCAGCAATCAACACTTAAAAGTAATGTGGTACCGCAGCTAAACTATAAACACCTTAAGCTCATGCCATCTTTGGGATATGACCCGAGAGGACAATATATGTTAGAACACACCAACATGTGTCAACGAAACAGAAGGGTTGCAACTAGAGTACTAGACAACTCCTACTGGCAGCTGAGTGGCAGTTATCTAGAAAAAAAACGCTGGACACCAACGAGGAACTTGGTGTCAATCAATTAAGAAGAAATGTCAGCATGCGCACGAACCGAACACAGGACTTGGGGTTAAGTCACATCTGCCACTGCACTAGCAAGTGCTTCTCACAGTTTATGTAGAAACATTTGCTAAAATCCAGTCAGCGAGATCGCTGGCCTTCCCAACTACTATTTTTTCAAGATAATACACTCATTCCAAAAAGAATAATACTACATTTGAGTTTATGAGGGTTATGTTCTAAAAATGTTTTTGGCAGCTTGTTGTTACAGATTTAAAACCCTGAAACAAGCAAGATTCTTCATCTCCCGCATCTCTTAGTGAAACCCTACGCTTCGCCGATTACTGCTGACATGGGTAGGCAGAGACATTGCTACTGCTACATTACTACATACCCCAGAGGTGTCGAGGCGCTGCTCCCAGGGCTTGAAGACCGACTTGACGCTCCCCGCCACAGATTCGTTCAGAGCCACCACCTGTATATATGTATATGATGATGCAGCAGTATAAGGGCAAACACCATCAAAAAAACACACAAAAAAAATCAAACCCATTGCCCTAACATGCCATCTCTAGATTTCGTCTTTTGTTTTTCATCCGCACGATTAAACGCGGAATATATAGATGAACTAATAGGGAATCAACATCAACAGCAATTTCAAAGAGGAACATCAAACGAAGTGAGTGATACGGGGGCCAATCCATCTGATCAACCAGGCGAGCGAGGGGCAGAGAGAGAGAGGGACCTTGGGGACGTCGATGTGGTTGAAGAGCGACCAGTCGGCGGCGCAGTTGTGATCCTCGCAGCTGTGGTCGTGCAGGCACGCCATCCTCTCCCCTCCTTCTCCCCCACTTCCCCTTCCTTTCTCTCTCCCTCCCTCCCTCCCTCTGAAATCTGAATGACGCTGGCGATGGTGGTGGTGTTTGATTCGCTCTTCACTCCCTAGTCGCGGATTAGCAGGAGGCGGATATATAGCAGCGGCCTGTTGTTTCCTTTGCTTTGCCTCTGGTTTTTATCGCATCTCTCTCCTGTTTCTCTTGGTCTAGTCTATCCGTGTAACGCCTTTTTCGGCATCGTGACGAGTGTTCTAGAGGGATTCTTCAATGTCTCGTCACATCTTCTCCTCTTCCCTTGAGAAATCTCTCGCCCATATATACTAGGAGTATCCAAAAAAAAAGAAAAAAAAACTCGCAAGGGTGCCAAATCACACGTTTGGTCGGTGCTGCTCGTGGGACGGTGGGGTAAAAAGGCCCTGCGCCTGCTTCGATCGCCACGTCTCCCCTTTTCGATCCAAATCATGGAGTACTATTCATCAGGATAAGTCCATTATCATCCATCGTATCAACAACAGAAAGAAAAAAAATAAAGCAGAAATCTAACTTTGGACTCAAAGAGCACATGGAACAGAACACGGAAAGAATAGGGGTGAAGGTAACAAATACAGTGCATACAAATGTCTGCATCCTTACTCCTATATTCTTTTATCATTCTGGGTTTTCCCACAAACACACATCCAAAGCTCACCAAGAAACAAAACCGCTACTACTTCAGCTAATAGCATGCAACCTGCCGTTTCCTACTTGCAGTCTAGAGGATCAAATGAAATGGGAGGTGTCAATATACATCAGTGGCTGTTACGGGGCACGTATGCTGCGACAAAAGAATCGTATGGTGTTGTGTTACAGGCTTAGCGCACGCATGCGGCAATGAATCTGTTAGCTACCAATTTCTGTATACTTTCTTCTGTGACGGACAATCACCACATCCACTCTCAGATAGGAAGCAGCATCCCAGGAGGAAACCAAAATCTTGTCGTCAGCTCATGTACCTGGAGTCAAGCAGATGATTGTCTTGACAGATCCATTTTTGGATCTTACTAAAACAGTCGAGAGCGTGATAGACGTGCTATGATCTCAATGTGCTACGTGAGTATCTCCACAAACTGACCGCTAACACTATTGCGCCAGCCATGCCAGCCAAAATCTGCAGGAAAGACGGATCTCAAAATGGTGAGGTGAGGAAGAGCCATGGGTAAAGACTAAATTGAAGCAAATGGCATGATAAATGAATGTCTAACCTTTGCGTCTCTGCTAAATCCACCAGGGCTCCAAGTAAGCAGTGCCTTAAACGAGTTCCAGCAGGATGACTTCGGCATAAGAATAACTACAGTGAACTGTTTTCTGCAAGGGAAAGGCACAACTCTTTGCAAGGCCATTTGCATCGATTGTGGTGTCAAAGCCTCTCTAACCTTTAGACGTCCCTCATCTTGGATCTGTAGAAATAAAAGTAATGGATGTACTCAGCAACTCAATGGGGGCAATTTCAAACACTAATAATGACAGACTGACAAATACGGGCCAAGAACGCAACTAAAGACCTACAAGCATATGGGTGTGCTAATATGTATATCTTTAATGCAAGGATGTGCTAATATATTTATCACCACTTAAACGACAAGTCAGTAAGTAACTGGAGAAGTCATAAATTAAGCAGCATTGAACCATACAAAAAGTATCACACTGATACCTCAAAGGTGGATCCAACATCTCCAGAATAAACCCTTGATTGATAGCTCCGCAGAACTCGATCCAGCCAGTAGTAATTTTCCTGTGGTTTCTCAAAGATTAGAACACTATGCACTATATTGGCACGAATTTGATAAAGATAAACTTCACTAAACCTGTAATCCATTTTCATGAGCTCTTTGTTCAATTTCAAGGATAGTTAATACGTCTTCTTCAGAAGGGCCTTCATTTTGTAGAAATGATATCTCTTCCAGCACAAAGTCAACCTGAAGAAATTCGAAGTGACTCAAGATTGAAACTGCTTACAACAAAATAGCATACAGGTTAACCAGAGGATATAGAGCATACAAGTTTGGATGACATGTCTGGATCGCATGAAAAATTCACACTTATATCTCCACGAATATCTCCACTTCTTGAAGGTTTGTTGCCACCTAAGAAGACACCTACATTGACTGAGTAAACCTGCAAAACAAAAGGATGTATTTAATGGACAAAAAATGTTACACAAAGTTACGGGAATGGTCAATCCAGACAGTGTGCAGGATCAAGGCACTCTACCTGTCCATATTTGAAACGAAGCACTTGCATGATTTTCGTCTCCAGAAGTTTACTTAGAAACCCAACATAGTGAATATCCTCTGTCTATAGATACAGCAGAACACATATTTAAGGTGGTGGGTAGTATTTCCATGGTACTTTATAAAGAATTTTCTATGAATGGGTACATACCATTGTTGTGCTCTTTAAAACCACAGGAAATCCTAGTTGCACAAAGCATTGAGCTTCAACCATAGGGCTGCGAACAACTTCTCTGGAAAAATGACACACTTTATAGTAAGACTATAATAGATCATAAGGCAACTTTTTTTATCGAACATGCGGGAGAGCTGCGTATCATTGCATTAAAGAAGGGTAAAACCCATACGGCACACACCCAACTTTATATCTAAAAAAGAAAACTGTATGGTTTCTTAGTCCTGCATACACATGAAGGACATAAAACGAATGCAGGCAAACTAGTGCAAAAGGGGCAGTAGCAAACCTAATAATAGTCTCCGGAAACTTGAATGGCAATCCTTTTAGATCATCACGAGTAAGTGGCAGAACTGCATTCCCTACGTTAGGTATTCCACCCTACAAAGTAGACTCAACCAGCATTACAACTGTTATTCGTCACCTCTGAACAATAATAGAAGGCACAGAACATACCAAGTACTGCAGAATCAGTGGAACTGAGATAGATGGGTCTATGTTTCCAACTATTACAACAGTAAAAGCTGATGGATCCTTGAAGCAATTGTTGAAATATTCACACGCTCTTATTGGATCCACCTTCTTCAAGTCACTTATTCTAATTGGCTGCAAAAGGAACTCTAGTAAACTTCTAGGCAGTAATATGAAGACCGCAATGGAACTTATTGGTGTTTTTCTGTTAAGATACCTTAAAGAAGTATGAATTCCCGTAATTTATCTCCCGTGCACGATTTGCAAATGCAGTGTAAGGATCTCTTTCTTGAGCATAGATAGCTTCCTCTGCCATTTGCATTACTATTTTTACTTCTTCCTCTCTTGGCTCCACCTTTGTTGTAAATAATTGGTAGACAAGCTGTATTTAAGAAGGCAGCCAAACATAAGAATAGGTCCACATTTTGCAAATACATGAAATTGTTGTTATGCCTGATATGGTGCAATTAGGATAATATTGCAGTATTGCACTGATATTGTTTTTATGCCTGTATTGATTAGGATAAGAGTCCAAAGACCAAGGAATAGGGCACTCGCCTAGTCGCCCTCACTTAGGGTCAGCAAGGTTTCTCCCTATCAAACCAAGAGAGGCTCTGAAGCTTATTGAACAAACTTTATATACATTACTTGATTTGTAATGGTGCCCCTACGAAAATAATCTCTAAGATAATAATAATAAAAAAAAAACCCATCTCTATCTTCCTACCATATCTTATCTCTTCCTAACTAAGGCCCCATTCTAACTTCATAAAGATACAGATTTTTCCTCGTTTTCCGTTAGCGCGCTTTTTAAACTGCTAAACGGTGTATTTTATGCGAAAACTTTCTATATAGAAGTTACTTTAAAATATCAAATAAATCTATTTTTCAAGTTTGTAATAATTAAAACTTAATTAATCACGTGTTAATGGCTTTCTCGTTTTGCGTGCCCACTTTTAATCTTCATCTATAGAAGATTCGAACGGGGCCTAAATGGTCTCTGATGTTTATTGGATTCCTCCCTAATATTTCACTTAGCCTGCCATAGTTGTACAGGATAGCCCAATGCTAGTGCGCCATAACACAATCAGCATGTTTTGTCTGTTAAAATATTCATATTTAAGAAAGCTTTTTGCGGACCTGCAAAGCAGTTTCAAGATCTGAAGGTGAGCAGTCCCCAGAAAATGATCTCATGTATGCCCCAACTTTTGTACCGACTTCAGCTCTCTTGCCAGCAAGCATGTCCATCAGGACAGATGGTCTGTAGCCAAAAATGCCAATCTCTCCTGCTATTGTTGAACCCATTGAACATGAGGTATATTCATCTTCAGACAATTCAGACAGACCACCATAGGCAAACCCAGTAAAAACAACCTGCAAATAGTTCAGCATTGAAAAGAGCATGAAATGAATCACCAGACGATTTGACATTACAGCTGCAACACAAAAACTGCTATCTCATATAGTTAATGATTTAAATGACACAGGACAAAGGTGGTTGACTGGTTATTGTCATGAAAGGTAACACAGTACTGTAATTCCAATGTAAGCATCTATGCAGTACTGTTGTAGTGTTCATACGCTCAAATGGTAAATTGGCACTAAACTACTGATGTATTTCTTCATGGTTGTAGCTGACTTCGGTTTTTCCCTTCATCCCTCAATTTTGCTTTCATATATAGCAACACCGATCAGAAAAAGAATAGCTCCAGATTCAAAGAAAATTGATAAACTGTCAACTGTTAGCTAAAAAGTGCAGCAGTGGTTCAATGTCCAAAGAAACATAGATACGAAGGAGAGCTAGACAGATAGTGCGTCAGAAATGCACAAGCTAGTTTGGTGTAGATGCCTATTGCCATCCCTTGTATGTGTCAAGACATGAAAATCATTGACTCTTGAAATATCTATATCTATACTACTATTAAAAGACAGTAGGGGTGGTGGTGAGTCCGCCACCATCACCACCATCGTCATGCAACATGTGGACCATGATATAGTACAACACATGTAAATGCTATGCTTGCTCTTTGTATTAGCGTAGACAGTCTATAGTCTAGTCTACGCAACTCTTTCATTTTCTAACCATGGCATTTTTTGTTTTGCTTTTTAAGATGAAAGATCTTGTTCAATTAAAAATATTTTTAACAAGGACTTAATTTTGCTATTTTTAATAATCCGTTGCAACGCATGGGCATTTGGCTAGTTTACTATAAAGACTGAAAATGGATAGGACAAAATCAAAACAGTTAGCCATGTGTTCCTCACAATCCTACAATACTGAGCTAATATTCACTAGATCTGTACCTTGCATGTGCCCTAACCTAATACACTTGTCGTGAAGTGCAGCTTGATTTAGTAATGTAACTAACATTAGAGAGTATTCTCAAAAGGAAAATGAGAAATGCTGGAGAAAGTGTTATAACCTAAGAAGATCAAGATAGGAAGGCCTGCAAGTAACAAAACAGCATTGGATCAGTAAATAGGTAAATGCTAATAACCTGATCATCAAGAAAGTCAGTACACTTGTAGCAAATTCGCATGCCATTCGAAAGTATCATCTCTGTAGCACCAATTCCTGGGTGCTCCACTTTATCAAGAATACTCCTGCAATGGCATTTGCAGAGTACAAGGGTAAGAATAGTGATATAACGAAATGTTGATAACAGGAACAACATAATATACTATGATTTCAACAAAACTAGTTACAGAAGACAGTCAATCATGAGACAGCTAATACCCTGGCTCTGGACTTTGGCTGACAATTTCTTCAGGGATTTGCTCTTCATCCCATGGAGGAATAGCGTTGTCTTGTTCAAGAGTGTTGACTTTCAATACAACTGCTTTCAAATCCTCCAAAGAAGCATGGGCATGAGGTTCAACTACCTTGATAACACAGCTGCTTATTGTTGAAAAGTTTGCTGCAAACTTTACCACTTCCGCAGAAGAAATATCTAGTTGAGAGTAAACAGAGATTAATACTTAGATAATTTAATAACTATGGCGACATGAATCATGCAAGGAGGCCCAAGATTTTGTAATAACTAATAAAGGAAAGGTAATTCAGAATTCAAATTAGAAATATGAGCTCCAAATAAAAACTAGGTCTCGGTAAAACTTATACATACGGGGTAGAAGAGTCTTCTGCAACTGTGCTTCATATTCAATCCCGACAACAGGATCTTCATGAAGAAAATGCTGCAATGAATGGGACAGTTAACGTTAGTGCTTCTGATAAGTTGTAGGAGATGAACATCATGCTTTAGTTGAGATGTTGGACATACTTGTAGACACATTAGTATTTATTACAGCAATTCATATTAAAACATGACATGGGAAAATAACAGTACAGAAAATGAGATACAACATTATAATCTGAACTAAGCCCCCCTTTGGTGTAGCTACTACACAGAAAAAGGTTATTATGCTGCCAAATGAAAAGGCCTGCAGCAGCTTATGAGTAACCAGAAGCTAATATTACGCTGAGAAGCAAAAGGTGTCTTCCACCAGTTTCTCCACAAGCAGAAGCTGTGCAAAAAGGGTCCTAAGAAATGAATAACAACTTCAGAACACATAGCATTAGGCTAAACCTGGTGGAAAAAAGAATCATGATATGCAAATGATAGAAAGCTATTAAGCCATATACTGGAGTAGTGGTAAGCTAGAAAATTGCACGAACCTGCAAGAATTCATCCCGAAGGGTTGTTGACTGCATCTGATCACGTTCCAAATATGCAGACTCGATATCTGACATCATTAAAGCACGTGCAATGGATATCTCACGTTCAGAAAATCCATGGAGCCGAACCCTAGCAACCTTTTCTTTCACAGGAAAAGGAAAACTTGTCTGAATCTCTTGGAATTGAAATCCCAATAAATCTCAAGATTGAGAAAATGGTTGTTTCCCAACAATAACAAAATGTATGCTTTCGCAAGATGCGCTAATCATTGAGTACACCAAGATATATGTGAATCAAGTAAGAGTGATGCACTTGCATATTGTTGTGATGGAATTTCACATTTCATTGTACTACATTGAATCAACTGGTGGCACTCTAGATCTGCTGTCATTATGCTATAACAAAGTCATGTTTCTCCTTAAATAAATGTAACCTTGAGGAACCTGACCTTTGCATAAATGTAGTACGAGTATTGACTAGAAAATCGTTTTCTCATTTTTCCTTCAGAGACCAAAGTTTTAAAGTACCTCAAGCAGCATAGACTCAAGAGCCTCGACTGTTCCCCTTTCGCGACAACTGGATGTCATAATATATGCCTTCACTGGTCGTACAAGAGCATCTGCAGCTGAAGAGCAAGAGAAGTATGGAGGATCATTCCTGCGAGATATTTTGAACAGCCTTTGGTTCAAAGCACAATGAAACATTGACTCTGCCAGAGAATCCCGATAATCCGTCACCGTTTTAATTCTATCAGCAGGCATCTTGCAGCTAACAACAACAGCTGACTGTTTTGGGGTATAGGAGAAACAGAAAAAAGAAGTGTATTAATGAAAACATTCAGTCACTAGCAAAATATATTCAACACATTTGAAGCACTATAAAGTACCAACCCCTGCAGCTTCAGATTCCACAAAGCATGAAAACCGAGGTTCAACATGCGATGGTACTGGAAAATCTGGTATAACTGGTGGAGGACATGAAGGTGGGGCTTTCTGGCCAAAGTGCTCCTTTATCATTTCAACAACAGCCTGCAGTAAATAATGATGCACAAAAGAAAGTCAACATACAGATAGATTGTGATTTGAGCATGCTAAGTTAGAGCAAATACAAACCTGTGTATCTGGGAAGTCCCCTACAGCAAAGACAGCCATGTTGCTTAGATGGTACCACTTATGGTAAAAGTGCCTAACAGTCTCATGAGGAACAGTCCGTATCACCTTCTCAGTACCTATAGGCAGGCGTTCTGCATACTGAGACAAAGGACATTAACAAGCAATACCATTTAGATACTTGCAGTTCCAAATACAACAACACTGATAGGAAGATATAAGCCACAACTTATTACCCCACCAATAAAACCGAGCATAAGAGGAGTAAATTACTTGAGCTAGACTTGAACATAAGTTACATAACATAACTTTTTTTCATGCATATAGGAGATTGATGTAACAATTATACGAGGACTTTGACCAATACCTTGGAGCCTTCGAACAACAATGCCCAATGGGAATCCTGCATCCTCCCAGTAGCATTACGTCCACCCCTATACTCCTCCAATACAGCACCCCTCTCTTTCTCCAAATCCTCCGCCGACACACGAACCTTTCACCACCATTACCAAGCATCAGTCGCACCAGTGTCAAACCATGAACAAACGGCACAGCCATTGCCGTGAACAAGCGGGAAGCACATTCTCACCTCAGAGCTGAACTCGGCCAGGACTGAGATGGCCTGGGAGAGCAGGCCGGGTTTGTCGACGGGGACAAGCAGCTCGTAGATGGTCTCGTCGGAGGAGGTGAGCGCGTTCTGGCAGGCGCCGAACTCGGCCCCGATGCTCTCGAGGAACTTGACGATGTCGTGGTTGGTGTAGCGCGACGTGGCGCTGAAGGCGAGGTGCTCGACGATGTGCGCCACCCCGCGCTCGTCCTCCTCCTCCACCACCGACCTGCGCGCGCGCGCGCGCGTGCGTCAAGCCCGCACACGACGCGAAATCAGAAAGCAAACTCGCGAAATCGTTGGGGGCAGCGAGCGAGGGAGTACTGACCCGACCTTGACGGCGAGGGAGAGGGCGGCGCGCATGCGGGGCTTGGGGTTGGAGCGGACGTAGTAGGCGAGGCCGTTGGCGAGGCGGCCGTACGCGACGCCGACGGGCTCCGCGGGGAGCGGCTCGTCCATGGAGACGCTGACCATCTTCAGCGACCGGAACCCGACGCCCCGGCGCAGCCTCCTCCCCGGGGCGGGGGCGCCGCCGCCGCCGCCGCCTCCCCCGGCCGGCGGCTCGGTCGCCGGCGGGAGCAGATCCATGGCCGCACTCGAGCTCGCGCACGCGGCGGTGGGGGGAGGAGAGAGGGATCGGGTTGCGATGCTGGGGTCCGGGAGGGGGGGTCGGTCGGCCGCGTGCGACTGTGCGAGGCGGATGCGATGCGGTGCGATACGTGACAAATCCGCAGTGCGGTGACGTAGGCACGGAGATTTGCTTTTTCTGTTTTTTTCTTCTTTTGTGGCTTTTCGGTGGGCTGGTGGATTGGCCCGGATCGGGTTAGGGTGGGCCGGAGAGGACGGGAGCTGGTTGGGCCAAAAGGGGAAAAGGGAGTAAAGCGTCGCGCCGCGCCGCTGGAGGTCCGGCAGGGAGGCTTTTAAGCCTCTCACAGTGCAAGCATCCACTATGAGGTACCACAGGGTAACACGTAGGATGAAGAGCTGCAAAGACATTTTCTCCACAGTGCAAGCATCGATAGTGGGACCCACATATACTACTTTACCAATCCCCTCGTCATCATAGCAGCATCCTCCCTCCCCTCCTCACATCACTAATCACGCCCTCACTTCCCCCAACTCCACTCGGCGCCGACGCCCCTCCTCCCTCCGCCGGCGCCGAGTGGCCTCAGGGACCGATCGGCCTCGGGGCCCTCCGTCTGCGATGGCCTCGGGGCCGACCGGCGGAGCTGGCGGCAGCCTCAGGGACGAGCGGCGGTGGCAGCCTCGGGGCCGAGCGGCGGCGGCGGCGGCGGTGGCGGCGGCGGCGGCGGCGGAGGCGGCCTCGGGGCCGACCGGCGGCGACGGCGGCGGCCTCAGGGACAAGCGGCGGCGGCCTCGGGGACGAGCGGCGGAGCTTGGCGTCGACCTTGATTTGTGTTGCCGCGATTTGTGTTGGCGATTTTTCCAAATCCCCTCGGGGCCGAGCGGCGAGCGGCCATTTTGTTGCCGCGATTTGTGTTCCTTGATTTGTTGCCGCGATTTTGGTGGGCGTGTTCCTTGATTTGTTGCCGCGATTTTGGTGGGTTGTTCCTTGATTTGTTGCCGTGATTTTTTGGTGGGTGATTTTGGGGAAAACCCTTCCACACGGGCGGCGCGAGGGCACGAACGGGCGGGGCGCACGGGGCAACGCGCTCTACAGCGCTCGTTTCCTCGCCTCGCGTGGGCCCGCGGCAAGGAGGAATCGTGCTTCTCTCCGTGGAAGCAAGCATCCTTGCTTGGGCGCGGAACCTAGCGCCACGCAAGCTTGATTCCGACGTGGCGCCCCATAGCACTGATCCACGGTGTTGCACTATAAAGGGCCTTAGGGCATTAGCATTGCAGGCTACCCCATATGAGACACGTAGGATCTATTTGGGAGCTTAAAATTATGAGAAACTGATATATATAGTAGTTGGTAGTTAGTTTCCGAGAATATGGAAAAGTAGGGTTTTCTAGCTTCTAGCTTTTAGTTCATTTTCTGGATTTTACAACTGCAACTTCTTAGAATCTGAACCCAAAGATGGACTGCTTAGGCGTCGGAGTGGGATGTTCCTCTAGAGAGAATCATACTCTCCTTTGAGTGTTCGGCCAAGGTGCGGGTTCCGAGCTCGTGTTTAGATCGCACGAAAGAAATGTAGGTAGGTGGTTTACATAGGTTCAGGCTGTCGGAAGTGTAATACCATACTCATGTAATCTTGCTATGGATGATGAAACTTACAATGTATGTGTTGGGTGGATATTGTTCTAAGTGGGAGAGGATGAACCCTTGTTCATTGCCTTTGTGATTGTTGGTCTAACTTGGGCTAATTGGGCTAAACATATCCAGTTGAACCCAACCAAATTGAACCGAACCGAACCCTTTTCTTAGTGGCATTGGTCCTCCTTTCATATGCCAAGGGGTTACCACAGTGTGCATGCAAGTGTGCATGTGTAGGACCCCGCTCACAAGGGTTGGTATGCTCAATCCTGTCATCGTCCTTCCAAAAATAATGGGTGGATGTGATGGGTTCACCTATCGGCTGACATGTGGAGCAGGGTAGCAAAAGTCTTCATCCCGACTATCAATGGGCCCACCTCTCAGCCTCCGATGCTGATAGGGGGTGTGTTAGGTGAGTACGGACTACGGAACACACGCCATGTCGCCAATCTTTTCCCTTGAGGCGACGTGGGCAAGCGAGGGAGGCATGCTCTGCCACGTCGCTCATGATCTATCCACATGAAATATATCACACGTATTTGATGCGGAATGATAAGGCAATGCTGCACACAGGGACTGGTCAAATCTACTTAATGAAGTAGATTCACTCGGGGAGGCATCAGTGCCCAAGGTAGACCTTGGGTTCCTAGCCCAATTGCAGTAGTCGTTGTGACTCCAAGCTAACACTAGCTAAAGCCCCGAGCTGACGTTGATGTCGGGTCACCTTCTTTGGCTCGAGGCATCGCTTGGATCCCTTCGTTGGCTCTTGCTTTAACTATTTTGGGCTCCACAATGCCCCGAGCAGCCAATGGAGTGGGAGCCCTCATTCCTACTTTACCAACAATAGGGTTAAGACTTGTAAATGAAAACTCACAAAAACATACATGCATATGTGTTAACAGTCCCAAACAAAACTGACCCACAACGACATGAAACCTCCCATGAACCAATCCACTCTTGCATGAGACCGACTACCCAACTAGACTAACTACCTTATTGATAATAGAAACAAGACAACTATGTACATACTTCTATACTCCTTTTAAAAGGCTTCAATGGTGGTGGTGAATGGTCAATGGTCAGTCTGTCACCGCCCATGACCGCCACCATGTGGAACCCCTAAACACTGACGTTGCAGGTGTACCAACAATAGTGGGTGATGTGGCAATGATTCTAGATCCTAGCTCCGCCTCGGCCACGCCCAGACACGACCAACCCTGCATCCATTGGCTCCAACCTAGACCTCGACCTCTTCTCATCCATAGGAAGAAAGCATTGCAACCGCCGATTTGTGAGTTGGGGATGGCTTCAGGATATCCTCCTCATCCCCTCCGGCGCTGTCCTTCCCCTTGACACTGCCTTTGATGCTCGGCTCTAGCGGTCTTCCTTGGCGCTGGCCTTAGTAAGAGGGCATGCAACCTGTCTCCTCTATGCTGGTAGGAGGGCATGCGGCCTGTCTCCTCTATGCTTCTCTGACCCAAGCACAAAATCATCGTAGTGGTTGCGTCCAGCCGAACCGAGAGGAGAAAGAATAAGAAGACGATGATGGATATCATCACATCTTAAAAGTGGCAAATAGTTAAATGCCACGATTTGGGAGACCCATTTTCTTCTTTTATTTCTTTTTCTGTTTAGGATGCTAGTAAGCATGACAGAGGACAAAACCACCGTCAAAAACTATCTTGGTTGAGGAAACCTCTTTGTCTCGTTTTGCGGTTAAGAGGTTATAATTGACGCTATTGTTGAGGGAGGACAGTTGGACTTTTTCCTATATCCTACAGCATGCTCGTGCATCAGAAAATGGCGCACCGCCAGGCCCACCCAGCGATAAGTGATAACTCCGCCATTTTCGCAGCCTCGCTCCACGCCGTTCCGTTTCCTCATCCAAACTACACGCACTACCTCAACGCCGACGACGACTCACCCCGGCCGGGTTTCGTCTCGCCGGCGGCGGCGCGAGGCCCGCGAGCTCGAGCTCGAGCTCGGCAGCGGAAGCTTCGGGTAGTAGTAGCAGCGGCCGTTAAGACTTCTCTCCTGCCGCCGGCAGCGGCACACAGCGGAGATGCTCCCGGCCCTTCTCCCCGGCTGCCTCGCCGCGCCCCCGCCCCCGCCGCCGCTTGTCACCACCAGCAGCACCGCATCCCCTAGCGCGCACCTCAGAACGCTCCGGCTCCCCTCTGGCCTTGCGGTATCCCGACGCGCGGGCTTCGGGGAGGCCGCGCGTGCAGCGGCCACCGAGCGAGGCGCCATCGAGGAGGAGGAGGAGGAGGAGGAGGGGTTCCCGGAGTGGGGGAACGGCGACGAGGATGAGTACGACCACGACCCGGAGATCGGCGACATAATGGGGGAGTACTTCGACGACCCCAACAAAGCCCAGTCTCGCGTGAGTGCCCGCCTGCTCTTTTGCCCCTCCTTACCCTTTACTCTTTGCCCTTCTTCATCTGAAATCTGGGAAAATCTTCCGATTTTTGGGTTTGCAGATGGAGGAGAGGATAAAGAAGAAGCGGCACAAGATCGTGCAGGCCAAGACCGGCTCACCCAACCCCATGAAGGTCGTCTTCAACAAGTAATGCTGCTCTCGCCGATGGCATGTATAGAATATAGTGATGCAATTAGTTAGCTAGAAATACAGTATTTTAGCTGACAGTATTTGGGAGTCTCCCCTTGATTGTGTAATTAACTTGTGGTTGTTGCCTGGCGCTAGGTTTGACTTCTCCAATTCGTACATATGGTTCGAGTTCTACCATGCTTTACTGCCAAAAGATGTGACCTTAATTTGCGATGTAAGTTGTTTTTCTTCCCTGCTGGAAGATAGTATGCGACATGCTTTTCAAAAACAAGTATGAATATTGAATCAGATATATTCAGAAATTTAGTCGCGATACCTCAATTTTCTTCTATTTCTCTTTATTGTGTTTGTAGGCTCTGCGGTCATGGCATATAGTTGGGCGCCTGGGCGGGTGCAATTCTATGAATATGCAGGTAAACTTATGTGGCTCCCAGCATATTAATTCGTAGTGTTCATTCCTATAGTTGTCAATAGCAAACACAAACAGAATATAGCAGCTAGCCTCTGTCTTTCTCTTACATATTGTGGTAATTTTAGTACTTTGAGGGGGAACTAGAGGATTTCCTTCTGGAAAAAGTACTTCGAATGGACTTTTATATATTTTTTTAAATAGAATTAAAAACATCTGTTTCTCTTACAGCTATCACAGTTGCCTTTAGACTGTCAAAGACCAACTTATGATGCTCTTGAAGGAGCGAATACCACACCAACATCCTTTTACAATATTGGTGATCTTGAGATTCAAGATAATATAGCACGTGTATGGTATGTACTCTTACCCTTTTGGCCCTCTTTTACTTTCAATAACATGCAAGGTAGCACAAGCTTATTGAACATGAGCAACGGTACCAGCTCCCCTTTAATGATTTATACCACTGGGTCTCACATCATTCTTGATTGCTATCATTATTATCAACTTTCTGTATATGCAAGTTTATGCAAAAGAAAACCATGAGATGCAGATAGAGCATTATAATTTATCAACACAAAACCGTGTGATCTGTGATTTAGTAGTTGTGATAGTGATACACTAGCTGTTGTGACTTCTGACAAGGACTAAAAAGTTGACAATTACTACCATTCAACACAGTATTTATGGAAACCTATGATTTTCTATAGGGTAGTAACACTTTCTATATTATTATACCAATATAACTTTATACAGTATCTAGTGGAACACTGGTACTGATTATGCTCGGGTTCTTTTGGTTTTGGCGCATGTGTCAATAATCTTCTAGTTTTCCTTCAAGTAGAGAGCATTGTACATAATATACTTGGTCAAGTTAAATCTCATTGAAATCGACCATGACTCTTTACTTTCATCTTATTGTTTTCAACAGGGTAGACATTGGTATTCACGAACCGTTGCTTTTGGACATCCTGCTTAATGCATTAACGACCATAAATTCAGAGTAAGAACCTGAAACTTCAGATTGTCAGGATTTTGTCACCAAACACATGGAGATGTAATTTCAAGTTGCCAGGATCAGGTTGCTAGGATGGTGGAGTTGGATACTTAGATATGCTTTATATTATGCGTTTTTCCCTGTCTTGATGTTTGGAGCGCCTCGTAATGGTGGTGTCCGAGTTACTAAACGGTGTATGTTGAACTAATTGAAATGGAGCAAACGGCAATAGTTTTTACCTCGTTACCTAGGAGTACAGGGCCAATGCATGATTTGCCTCAATATTCCACATTGGCATTTACATTGTTCTATGATGGATTTACATTTTCATTTATTGAAATGGAACAACTGCAATTTATGTTTTGCAGAGAAGGCTTTAGCCATGGTATGGTTGTTCTTAAATTACCTTGAGCAACCATTCAGTTTATTTTAGAAAAAAAAAACTAATTTGAAGTTATGTTGCATAGGTTCTGCAACACTGAATCAACTTTTCTTCGATGTTATTTTCTGTTCATTCTGGATTTAATTTTAGATAATGGAAGATAAGCCCTCCAGCCTCTGAATTAAAGATGCACACAGTCACCTCATTATGGGCTTCTATCAGTGTGTTTTGCACTGCCTGAAAGTAATACTTATGGGTGCTATACTGAATTGATGAATGAAACAACTATAATACACCACTTCACAGTGTATTCTGTATTAATTGATTTTTTTCGCCAATAATATGGCGCTCATGATGGTATCATCTTACTAAAGAAGTGGTTGTTTAAAGTCTTGTTTTGTCTTCACTCCTCTGATACTAAAATCAATCCACCTAACTGTTAGATCCAAAATTGTTCTACCGTAACTAATTCTTTTAGATAATGGAAAAGCTATTGCATAATAACTAATTATTTGGATACTGATCTTGATGGAGTGTAGGATTGAAATGAGTGGATGCAATCCATGTACGATAGGCATTTAGCATTTGCTAGTCCTGCACTTGTCTGAAGCGTGTGTCACTAGTGGAAGAAATATGTTTGTAATCTCCATGACATGATAATCGATATTTCATTCAGGAAGGGAATCTAAATTGAAGTAAAACCACATTCTATTGTTACATCTTTTTAGTTGGGGATTATTTTTCCCAGAATCACACTGTTTCCTTTCTGAATCTCTACTTTAAAAAGCGTATATTTTTGTATTCACTTATTGAACAATACAATCTCATTTAATTTTTGTTTCGTTTCTGCAGTCATGTGGGCATTAAGCAAGTGCAGTTTGGAGGGAGTGAATTTCAGAACTGGAGCGAGGACTTGAAAACGGAAGAAGCTGGATATAGTGTCCACAAAATTTAGAAAGCCTAGTCCTATTATAGCAGAAGCAGCCGCTATCCTGCTGAGGTGCTGATATAGTGCTATAGCACGGATCCAATGTAGCTTCCTGAATCATCCACCTCACAAGGGCTTCAACCGCTATGATCTTGCAGTTCTAACTGAGAAGAAAAGCGACGACACCATCCTTAAGCCTGAAAAGTTTGTTGCCATTTTCCTGCAAAGAACCTTTGCTTGGAAAAGGTTGCCTATTATTATGCAAAGAAGCCAGCCCATCAAGATGCAAATAGATCCTAAGATGAGTGAAGGTGCGCATGATTTCTTCAATCTCATCTACTTGGAATATAGGCAACAAAGTACGGTGATTGATAAGATATAATGGCTTAGTGGTGCACGAGTCACTCACAGACCCTGATTGAACAATATGAAAAGCCAGCCAGCCTTGTGAAGTTGTGAGACTCAACTCAATGAAGCAGCATATGTGTTTATTATTAAACTATTTAAGCAAGGGTTAATTTGGAGAGTTGTTACAGAAATTTTGCTTCGATTAATCAAGACTTCAAGAGAGTTCAGAAGTAGTATAACATTTTTCACTGTGGTACACAGATTATTGTCATAGGCGATGTTTGTAGGATTTTTCACATAAATTTTCGAAAGATCGATTTTCACAGAAGTTCTTTTTAAAAGAAACAGAGCAGAGAAATCCCATTTCATTACTGAAAAAGATCATGGCGCATAAGTTTTTTTTTTCCTGTGAGAAAGAGAGCGGAGCTCTCCCCTTTCATTACTGAAACGATTATTTGATTTTCACACAAGTAAGTTTAACTCTTGCAGTAATTAAAAGAAGTTCTTATGTTATGACAATTGTGGCTTTAATGAACTCACGGAATTGCCTTAATTCTCGAGGATATGTTTCACTTTTGAATGTATGTCCCTTCATTTGAGTTTTCAAATTCAATTTGTTTGGATTTTGTTTCATGTAAATATGTTTAACAGGGAAATATTTTGGTAGTACACCTATTAGATTGGTATATATTGATAACTCCCCACTCTGCAAAAGCTCAAAATAAACCATACATTAACTTTTGGACAGAAGATAGAAAGAAAGCGAAACACGACATAGTCCAGGCATGAAAGAATGAATGAATTTTATTCAAAAAAGAACAAATTGAATTGTGGCGCCACGGTAAAAGGTCAAAGAAGAAAAAGAAAGAAAGAAAGAAGAAGACGAAAGAAAGAAAGAAAGAAAGAAAGAAGAAGAAGAAGAAGAAGAAGAAGAAGAAGAATAGAAGATCATCAGAATTTACAAGAACCCGACCGAGAGAGGTGAGCTGCGTGCCTGCGTGAGGACAACAAGCTTAAGTTGCAGGCACGATCTCGTCGTTGTTGGCTTCGCCGAGATCGGACTTGGACGGGAAGGTGGCCGACCTCGCGGTGGCGGCGCCGCCGCCGCCGCCGCCTTCGGCGTGGCCGTCGCGGCCACGGGTCGACGACATGGCCCGACGGGAGGAGGAGGACCTGGCCGCCGCCCTCGGCGAGCCGAAGCTGATCTGGCGCGCGTACGCAACGACGGCCTTCGCCCACTTCTTGATCTGGCTCTTGAGCTTACCGGCGTCGGCGTCCCTCAGCGACCCCGGCCCCACGCTGAACTCCAGCCCGGAGAAGCACCGCGCGTACGACCGCGCTCCCCCCTTCGCCGCCGCGCCGTCCTCCTTCGACGGCGCCATCTCCTTCTTCCCCACCGACATCGACTCCGACGACTCAAAAATGGCCCGGTTCAAAAATGTTTCTCTGGGGCCTATGCCATGGTCGTATATATATGCAGGGTGTTGGTCTCTTGGAGGAAGCTAGCGCGCGCGCGCGTGCGTGTGGCCGCGTGGGTAGGCAAGGCGAGCAAGCAAGAGTGGGAGAGACGAGGAGGAAGCTAGAGGAAGACGTCAAGACTCAAGTGTCAAGACCACGCCGTGCTTGGTCGCCACGGTTTTTCCCCTCTCCTCTCAGTTTTTTTTTTAAGCAATTCCATAGTACTCCTCAAGGTCTCAAGGTATGATAAGTACTAAAAATTTAGTGTAGATATTAAAAAGTATCAAATTTACAATAGAAAAAATGGTACCTCCTCAAGAACCGTAAATCGCTCTTGTTTTTAATTGAATCCATGTCACTATAAATATATCATTTAGATATATGCCACTGCTATTCACGATATCAGCAACGTGTCACTTGAATCTAGGGAAATTAGAAACATACCACCCTGTTGCGTTTTCCGTCAAAACCCTCGAGACGTTCGAGTTCGACCTACATGTCAGTTCCATCTTCATCCATCATCCATCTTCTTTCTTCCCCACGCACAGTTGAGGTTAACGGAGAATCTTTTTTATGGAAAATACGACGGAGTGGCGCGGTTTTAGTTTTCCCAAATTATAGTGGTACGTAGCCGATATCATGAATAGTAGTAGAATTTATCTAAAATGGTATATTTGTAGTGGCATCGATCCAATTAACTCTTTTTTTCCTAGCGAGCGAGCGGTGTCGTTGTTCCGGTCTCATCTTTTCACTTAGGCTTATAAGTCAAAATTTAAATCTTCAACCTTAAATTTGAAGTCGGTTTTTGGGGTTTTTTCGTTGTAGTTTATTTTTCAGCCTTTGCGTTTAGATCGCTAAGAACATACACGTATATATTATTCACAAATTATTTTTTATTTGTAAATATACCGATTGGTTTTTTTTTTCCGTTGAATGAGCCAAACAATGATGTAATGTGTGCTAGTGTAGTGTCACTGTTCCCTGGGTTGAGGGTTTTGAGGGAAAGGAATGTACGCGTATGGCGTCTCAACTTGAAATGTTTTCGATCGGCGACTGGATCAAGCATCTGCAGTAAATACCGGACTAGCGTAGCCCGTTTGCCGTGTCACCAGGATCATCACGTACGTATGCGAAGAGATAACCTGGACATGGCACGACAGTGAGAGAAACGTCTTCACAGGAAATATGCAGCGACAATATTACGAAGGCAAAATTGATTTCTTCCATAGTTCCATAGTAGGATCAAAAGTTCACGTTTCCAATTCTGTAACACAGAAAAAATACATCCGTTACTTTTTCTACCACTTCATGAAAGAGAGATGTGAAGACGGCCTTTGTCATGGAGGTGGAGCTGGTATTGGCATTGCTGGATTTTTTCTTCAGTTTTTGGTTATTGTGAGAACTTATTTTACAATAGATCACAAAAAAAACTTATTATAGGAATGAAGCTTTTCCACGACGCCAATGTCATTGACGCCATGGTCCAATATAACGGTGCCAATGATATTGGTACGGTCCCCTAGCCTCCTCGGAGAAGCTAAGTCATTTATATGAATAGGAACGACACTAAGGGCATCCACAATGTAAAGCAAAAGTAGTCTATAGGCAATATTATATTCCATTCAACTACCTATTACCATTGTGTAACTAATCTATATGGAGAAAATAACAAAAGGTATCCATAAGCATATGGACTACCTATATGGAATAAATAATACTATCTATCTCTATTTCTTTCATATCTTCTAATGCTACCTTGTATCTATATACATTGTGGAAATTGCTATAGTTAAAGTCTCTTTATGTGGGTCCCATCTATATGGATCACTTTTGCCATATACATTGGTGATGCTCTAATGTCATTGGCATAGAGAATAATTTATAAAAAAATAATGAAAAATGACTTGTTTGTAATAAAAAAATATTTACAAATAGTTCACTTTTGAAATTTTGATTACAAATTGGTCCTCGGCCTCCATGACATTGATGTCACCCCATTTATATTGATATAAGTGAATTAGCTTCTCCGAGGAAACTAGTGGGACAACGTCAATGTCCTTGATGCCATCATATTAAACCACTGCGCCAATAGTGTTAGTGCCGTGAAAAAGATCCATTTTGGGAATACGTTTTTTCAGGGGTATGTTTGTAAAATAAGTTTTAAAAAGATTTAAAATGTAAAAAAATCTAGACTGGCCTCTCGCTTAGGTATGGTGGTCAGCAAGAGCAATGCATGTCGATGGAAGAAGCAGTGGCATAGGTGCTGGATGAGACCTGCACGGAGGCATTCTCCTTCCTAATACTATAATAGTAGTATATGCTAGGCAAAATGCCACGAAAGCTTTCGAAAAATTGAACCGTGAATTTTCGGTGTTATAAACCAAAATCAGAATTTTTGGTGTTTTACCACTAATTTTGCCTGTTATATATAAAGTGCTTCTCACGGAGTACTACCTCCATCCCAAAATAAGTGCAACCGTGAAAATCCATGTCTGATGTTTGACCGTCCATCTTATTTGAAAAATTTATAATTTTTTTTTAAAATAGTCACACATAAAGTGCTATTCATGTTTTATCATCTAATAACAATAAAAATACTAATCATAATTGTTTTTTCCAATAAGACGAACGATTAACCATTGAATATGAACAGTGTAAAACTGCACTTATTTTAGGACGAAGAGAGTATATTTTTAAATAGATGTCGTTTTATAAATAAATAAATAACCAAGATATACTATGAGTACTCAAGGTGGTCGAAGGGACGTGGGACCCGGGAAGTAGTTTGCAGGAATGAACAAGTGACATCTCCATAGGAATTTACAAGTCAGCTGCCGCCGCCCAGCTAGCATAATCTTACAGGTCAAGGGATTGACATGGTTAGGCTCTTTTCTTCCGGAAATGGCCTAACCATCGCATTTAAAAACATACTACTACGTACTACCATCACCAAAAGTTGGAACGTACCGTTGTTTGATCCTTTGAGAATCTTGCGTACAATAACGAAACACAGGACATTTCTGAAGGATAAATGTCCACCACTTGAAATCCAAAAGCGAAAGCAAACCTACATTTCTGTTCGGAAGGATTTCCCACACTTCGCAAACAAGTAAATCCATTTTTTTCGGCAACAAAATGAACTGTCTTACAGCGATACAGCGATACTAGTATTCTATAAGAAACTGAAACATCAAAATTGGTGGTTGCTGCGCCTGCTGGTGCCAGATGTTATGTGGAGAAATTTCACCGAGTATCAACGACTATTCAGATAGCCAACAAGTTGACCTTGACCACATGCCTGCGCCTTTGACCTTCCTGTGAGATGAACACGTTTTTGTTTTGTTTTGTTTTTTTGCTGTTTGTGCTAGCAGGGTTCGTCAGGAGCATCCGAAGTTAACTGTCTGGAAGTGCTAATTTTAGCTGATAATAAGATTTCTTCTTCTTAGACTTGGATATCTATCCATCAGTTCATTTACCTTTTGGATTTCTTCAACTCTTTGGGCGTCTCCAGCTTCTAGTTACTTCGTCTCCTTACACCTCTTGCAGAAAACTCACATTCGAAAGTGTCTTAAGATTTGACGAAGTCACTAAGAATATCGTGCTGTAAATAAATATATTTTCTATCACTAATACAAGAATAATTAGCACATGTCAAATCCTAGAGTTGAACCCGGGTGACCTGGTTTCACCAAAATAAAAAATAAAAAAACTATTACAATCCTTCTCTTTTTGGGTATTGGAGCAATCGAGACAGAGGAGGCCTTGGCTGGAAATAGAGGGGGGGTATCTCGGCCCGGCCCGGCCCAACTGCGGGAATCTGGGAGGTGGGTGGGCCCCACGGCGGAGACTCCGAAACCCGCAAGCAACCAACCACCCACCAACCCGGGTGGTTCGTGTCGTGGCATTCATGGCTGGCCGCGGCCGCTGCCTCTACTAGACTACCACTGCTGCCGCCCTGGACTCCACGAGACGTGCCCCACTCGACAACCCAAACCCCAACCCCCGCTACGTCTCCTCTCCCCCTTTTTTATTCCCACTCCACCCCCCCTTTCCCCCCCTCCCCTCCTCGTGCTCCGCTTTCTCCCCCCAAATTCCTCGCCGCCCTCGGTCGTCGCCGCCGCCTCCGCCGCCTCGCCTCCCGGAGATTCGCCGCCTTCGCCGCCGCCGCCATGAATCCCGAGTAGTAAGTCTCCCCTTCTTCTTCTTCTTCTTCTTCTCCTGTAGTTCCGTCTGGAGTATTCGCTGTCGGCGGCGGTGGGTGGAGTCGGGGTCGAGCGGAGCGAAGCGCGCGGACCCGATCTCGCCGTCGAGCCGCCGATTCGCCTCCCCGAGCCGTGGATTCCGGCGGCGGCGCTAGTCCGCCCCCCCGCTTGCTTCTCGTTGAACGGGGTTGCTTGTGGAGGTGGGTGGTGGTAGTTAGTCGTTACCTGTCGTCTGGTCCCCGCCTCCCCCACGCCGGGAGGGCGGGAGGGAGTAGCAGATTCTCTCGGATGCGCTTTTCCGCGCTTCGTCCGCCATGAGTGTTTCTATTGCTTCGTTGGGGGTTTGTTGCGTGCCGTTGGCTGCTTGGCTTGCTGTGGTGCACTTACTGATTTGATGTGATGTGCTGTGATGTGATGCTTGGGTGATTCTGCAGTGACTACCTCTTCAAGCTTCTGCTCATCGGAGACTCGGGCGTCGGGAAGTCTTGCCTGCTTCTGAGGTTTGCGGTGAGGATCGCTTCCTTACCCTGTATTGAGATTTCTTTTTTTTTCTTTTTAGATTATAATTTAAGGTTTTGTTTATTTGAATGCATCTCGTATGGCAAGTCCCCGGGCAAAGTGGCCAGAAGCCTGTGAACTTTCAAGACACCAATTTAGTTCATTGGAAAGATAAGAGGATACTTAAAATTTGACTAGAGAGTATCACCTAATTGGTTTTATTCAAGGCATATGTATGATGCATGTTTGCGAATAATGACTTGGCATCGGCAACGGTGACAAAGTAGACATTGATTGCTTTATTGCTTGGGGTATGTTCATTGATCCAAGATAAAAACAATGCCGTGGGAGATTTGTAATGGACTTGAATTTGCATGACAAGTTCCTCCGTAGGGTGCCCTGATAATGTTATTTGCTGTTTGGCCAATGATAAAATCTTACGTAGAATCATAGAAATAATCATAAGAGTTTATCTGAATTTTGTTCTGCTTTGGGTAGTTTCCGTGAACAATTTGGAAAAAAGATTGAGGTGTTTTGGTCATTTTGTCAAGGTCTGTGGCATCTCAAGTTACTATACTTTCGGGACAAGCTTGTCGATACTGATTTAGTTAGTAGTAGTGACTCGCCTAAAACGAGTTAAGATCTGGAGAGTTTCTGTTTTCAATGTCCTCATTTTCCAACATTACATCTGACAGAAATGCAACCAGTAATGATGATCAAGTGGGAGAGCGTTTACTTCTAGAATCATGTGCTATGGCAGCTGTATTCATAGTCTGCATCATATTTTTGTTTGGTAGCTCCTCCTGGCCTTGATTAAAGGATCTATCTTCTCATTTCTTTTGCAGGACGATTCATATCTGGAGAGCTATATCAGTACCATCGGTGTTGATTTTGTAAGTTCAATTTTTCCATGTGCATAAGTTTGCACAAATGAGCCTTTTTTTTTTCTCCTTAATAGCCTTTTCACTCCATGTTTGACCTGCTAGAAAATCCGCACTGTTGAGCAAGATGGGAAGACAATAAAGCTGCAAATTGTAAGTAAACCATTCTAGTGAAGGCTGTAACATTTTTCCAGACTGCTAAGAAACTTCAGCTCTGATATGTCAACTTGTTCTCCTTCAGTGGGATACTGCTGGCCAAGAGCGATTTAGGACCATTACAAGCAGCTACTACCGTGGTGCCCACGGGATCATTGTGAGCACTCTTCACATATGTCACTATCCATCTCCCATGGATTAATATTACCCCGTGCTTGCTAATTATGTAATGTATGTTATGTAGGTTGTTTATGATGTGACTGATCAGGAGAGCTTCAACAATGTCAAGCAGTGGCTGAATGAAATTGATAGGTATGCTAGTGAAAATGTGAACAAGCTCTTGGTGGGGAACAAGTGTGATCTAGCTGAGAACAGAGTGGTTTCTTATGAGGCTGGCAAGGTATTTTTTTGCTTTGTGTTTCCATTACCCTCGCATAAATATCTTTTGACTTCCTTGTGGATTATACCTTGTTCAACTGGCATACATATGTTTTAATCATTGACAGGCCCTTGCTGATGAGATTGGAATACCATTCCTGGAGACCAGTGCGAAGGATGCAACAAATGTGGAGAAGGCATTCATGACCATGGCAGGAGAGATAAAGAACAGGTGACATTCCCTCTAGATATTTGAAGGCTTATTCTAGGAAATTGCTATTTTGTGCTTAATCATCATGACCTCCTGATATATAGTTACATAAGGAAAGAATTCATAGAAATGAACATACTATTGCTGGACCATCATTATTGGTATTAGCATTCACTTGCATTACCTGACACCTTGTTCTTTGTTTGAATAGGATGGCAAGCCAACCGGCTACAAATGCAAGCAAGCCTGCAACCGTGCAAATGCGAGGCCAACCTGTTGCCCAGCAAAGCAGCTGCTGCTCTTGATTATCAATCTAGATCACAATAGTGTGCTTGTTTGTGCACCAAGCAACACTTAATTGGTTGCTCTATCCCTGTAAATTAAGTCTATTAGTACTATCAAAAAGCTTGATGTGTTCTGTGTCGGATATTATTGGAAAAAGTCTGTCCCCTAACTGTAACGAAGCGGCAGATGCTGTGGGCCTGTTTTAACTGCCTGTTCATATTTCTATGTTTCAAGTGGCATCGATGTTCGACTTTATTCGATTAATGGTTCCACTTGCAAACTGTGCTACGAAATGCTGACGGAGTGCAATCTTGTCATACCAGGCGCGCACTGCCTCCGTAGTAAGATATTTTACTGTAGAAATTTATGTGGAATTATCCGATGTTTTACGTCCTTTAGAAATTTGCGTGCAATTGGGACGACGTTTTGCATTGAATTTGTTGATACTAACACCAAACTCAAATTATGACGTTTCTACGGGATCAAAATGTGATTAGCCTAACATGCTAGTTCTACTCGAGTTCTGGCCGCAGGATGTACAAGCAGAACCACATTTTTGTTTGCAAGAGCAAGACGGTACATCGACACAATGCATACTCCTGGATGCTCAAAACTTTCACAGCTTGTTTCCAGCAACAAACCTGAAGCATGAACTACCCTTCACAGCATATATGAGCAAAAAGAACACTCAGGCCGCGTTACCACGATCGGATGCAATCAGTATATTCAAGGTGCTTATTTTCCTCCCACTGTGGGATGCTTCAACTGAAACCAAGGCGGATAATCGCAATTACACGGTTACAAGCACATAGCTGATATGAACATGGCAGGCATTAATATTTTTTTTATAAAAATTATAAGGCTGCTAATGTACATGCAAAACTAGCAATATGTCTCTCTGTTCACAGGCTATCTCCAAGCGCAGGCTTGGCAGCCCACACCTCATGTAGGGTTCTCTGATCTCACTGGAAAACTTAAAGCTTCGTTGATCCTACTGAAAACAAGTCGGAGCGGGATGCACGCGATTGTAGGCCCACTAATCTTGCCAACTACGGGCTTCCTGCTTGCACCATCTCTACGACTGCTGGCGAAAGATGAGAGCCTACGCATTTTCCTCGGTGAAGTTGCTGATTTCTTTGTGTGTGGCCGCCGTGACTTGTCCGTATCATGCTCTGAGATCTTTTTCTTACCGCTGGGCTTTGGTCTTGATGCAGGTCTCGATGAATGTGACGATCTTGCTTGCCTTGGTTCCGCAGGTTCGCTCCTCTTTAGCAAGTTGTTAAGACTGCTAGTTGCTGGGCGCAGATCATTTCGGCTCGCCGCAGAACTACTATCTTTTAAAACCTCCACAGTTATAGGGTAACCGACAATGGGCTTACCATTCCATTTACTCATGAGAGAAACAAGAGGCACACGATGGCCCTTGTAGCTTCCTTGAGCAGCCAATTCTACATCATATACCTTATAGTCTGTCCGTGCATTCTTGATTGGCTTTACCACATGGGGACTGGAAGGTTCTAGACCAGATTTCTGTTCAGGTGGTATCACTTGAAGTGGCTCATAATACGGGGAAGATGGTGCGCCCTTTTCTGATTGTGAGCGGTTGCTTATAGTTTCAGATGATTCATCATGCTCAGGTCCACTTCCATAATACTGTTGCTCCAAAGTACTGGCACAACCATCAGCAGGAACTATTGCAAGTTGCATATTGTTCTTAAGTGCAGGGGGCTTACAGAAAGCACTGCTCACCCTGGCATCCACCTCAACAGCATCAGTGTCTAATGCTTGCCCTTTTACTGTTCTTCCATGTTGTGCCAACAAAGTCCTATCCTTGTGGTTTTCTTGTGTTCTTTGACTAACAAAGCTCATGCTTTTCTTCTTAGAACTTCTGTGACCATGAGGTGAAGGTATGACCAGTTCAGTATATTCAGCAGTTTGCTTCCTGGGTTTTGAGATCTGGCCCTTGACTGATGCACATGATTCATATTTATGCAGATGATCTGAAAAAGATACAGCTGACAAGAATTAAACAATTGCTCCCTATGATAGTTCAAAGAGTGAGAGACATCAATTGCACACACTCATTTGGATGAGAATGAAAGAATTAATAATCTGCTATCAGATTAAATTGACAACCTTTATAGATTGATATATGTATGTCAGAAATCTATAAGAACTCTGCTGTACAAGAAACTTAGCAATGAGTCATCTGAAAACCCATAGTCTACTCAATTAAAATGCACAGAGAAGTGTTCAAAGAGCTTCATGACCAAAATTATTGTTCTTGTAAATCTAATTACCTGACCTATGAAATGGGGTCATCATTGCTTAGTGCAGCATGCTTAAAATCATATCGCAACTAAAATCAGGAAAATAATCCTAAGAGTTTACCTTCTTCGAGGGCATCTTCCTCCATAACAAGGGGGGTATCAAAATATTCATCGCCATCAGAGCAGTCATTATTGAGAAACCCAGGCATGCATGAGACCTCCGCTTCCTTTACTGGAATTACCTTGGCAACACCATCATGATTTGCGCATGATGCATCTAATAAAGTTTCCACACTTGAGGTCCCTGAGCTGTATGAATAATTATTTACATCCAATGGGAAACCAAATTTCCCCCTACTTGGTTCAAATGCATTGGACATTTTGCCTCCTGAGTACTGGGCAGAAGAATGCCCTGAAGGATCCCAGTGGCTATATGCTGGAACTGCCACAGCTGAATCTTTACATAACTTCGATAAAGGGCGACGTCTGTCTTTCTTCCTTGAATTTTCATAAGCTTGGCCAATATTGGAACGCTTCCTTTTTGTTGCCGAATGAGACTGCGGATCACCTTTTATCCCATTGGTACCAGACAAGCTATAACCAAAGCTTGCACTCTCAAGAAGTGGTAGATCCCGGTGCCCATTTAGGACGTATGAACTGTGTTTCTTTGATCCAATCTCCGTAAGGTCTCTCATACGTTGGGATCCTTGAACTGTGTCATCCTCAAAATCATTTGATGCCTTATGTTTCTTCCTTGATGATGAAGCATACCTAGTGCTTGAAGAGGACACATTCTGTGGCTGTTTATATAATGTTAAGGCCTGAGACAAACCTTTAGCTGACTCCTCTTCAATATCATACAGATCCCTTGCAGTGCGAGACGATTTTTTATTGAGCTCATTTATGTTTTTGGACTTTGCACAATAGCTGTTTTGGGATTCAAATAATAGGCCACTAGTATCATGTTCATCAGTATCATCTTCATTTGGAAAGCGAGCCCTTTCAAGTTCAAGAGCATGCATGATAGCATCTTCCCTGCGGACATACTTTCCTTCATTGTAGGCCCTCTTATGCTGGCGAGCTTGAGCCTTTGCTTTTTCTATACATTCCTCATACTCTCCACATCGAAATGGCTTCACACGCTTAGACTTCTCAAGATTATACCAGTCACTGTTGCAAAGTTAATTAAAAATAGTGGGTAAGATTAAAAAAACAATAGTCAGATTTAGGGTACAGAAAATACATCACATACACAATTCATGCTAAACAAAACTATAGTTAAATATAGTGAATAGAAATAAAACATCTCTTCTGAAGTAACACATTCAGAAAAGGCACATAATAGCATTAGTTTATGGACATGCTGAACAGTTAGAAGAAAATCCATCTAAACCTACTAGAAGTGATGACATCCATACAACCTAAAGTCATCGATTCATCATACAACCTAAAAACATTGATTCCCCATATAAATGAATCTTCGCTCTTAAGTCCAAAGCAAGCTTCAGGAAAAAAAGAAAAAATCAGGGGAAGATTCACAGACTTCATACCATATCTGTAAGATATAAAAATACCATCAAGAGAGCACAAGAATTCAATCGAAAATTTACCTCCTAATTTTCAAGAGAAGCATGACACAAGTTGTCTTTGGTGTATACTGATAAAAGCTATAATCGTGTCACACTAATCGATATGTCCATTACCTCGCCCAATTCCCATATCTCATCATGCAGAAAAACAGGGGCTGAGCAAAAATAAAATAAAATCCATTGACGATTATAGTCTAGAATACACTACACCACCGTAGATAACAACAACTACCGCTAACTGCAAACACACCAAACATCCCATGGCACTAGCAGCCTTGCTGAGCTTAAGGCATATACTAAAAATTCAGAAAGCCACCCAGGACAAGCACAATACACTATCTTCCAGTTCTTCCCAAATCAAGAACCACATCACAGTGTTCTTTGCCCAAATTCAGAGTGGGACACGAAACAGAGGTAGGTCTAAATGGCCATAAGACCAAGAACAGACTACAGCATGGATCATCTAAGCATGCAGGAACTCTTAACAAAGAGAAAGGAACAGAAGCAAAGCAATCAGAAGAAAAAGAGACAGGGGATTGGAGGACGACGAAGGAGGGAGGAGGTGTGTGTGTACGGACATGCTGCCGTCGGGGCGGCCGAGGAGCTTGATGGGCGTGCCGGAGGAGCGCGGCGGGACGACGCAGTTCTCCGGGAGCTCGTCGGCGCTGAGGATCTGGCCGGGCCACCAGGATCCGTTGCGGCGGCGCACCCACACGAGCGCCCCGACCTCCGCGTCCCGCCCCGTCACGCCGTCGGGCCACTCGCTGTCCGCCGCTCCCGCGCCGCAGCTCCCCATCCCCGCCGCCTCCTCTCCTCTCTCTCCCCAACCCCCCTCCTCCCACCTCCTCCACTGATCAATCCAAGAACGCCCCCTTTTCCCGGTCCAAGAACTCAAAACCACACAACCCCCCGGAATGAATCGGGAGACAGCGCGAGATTCTCCCTCCTCCCCGACCCCGACCGCGAGCGCCTGCGGCGGCTGCTGCTCCTCCTCCGCCGAGGCGGGAGGTCTCCGTGCTTGTGTGGAGGAGGGGGGGGAGTGGGGGAGGAGGAAGTGGAAAAGGGCAAAGGAGGAGGAGGAGGAGGTGGAGGTGGAAGAAGGTAGAAGGGTGGGGGTTTGGGGGCGTGCGTGTGTGTTGATTGGGCCGCTTCCTCGGCTGGGCCCAAAAGCCCATTAGGGTAGCTTTGCTCTGCCGCGGTTGAGAGATGTGGAGATTATCCTGGCCGTCCGATTAGTTATGGACGTCTTCCCTGTAATTCTGGATGTTCCTTCTAAAGGAAAGACATGGCGAATTAGGTATCTGACAAACGCGCTCCGACGCATAATGATAAGGGCCAGGTTAGGGTTTATTCTAAGCACTTTGGTTAGCGATGTAACAGATTATCCTGGCCGTCCGATTAGTTTTATGGACGTTTTCCCCGGAATCCTGGATGTTCCTTCTATAGGAAAGATATGGCGAATTAGGTATCTGGAAAACGTGCTCCAACGCACAATGATAAGGGCCAGGTTAGGGTTTATTCTAAGCACTTTGGTTAGTGAAGTAACTATGTTCTCCGATCAATAGAACTAGTCGACTAGCATTCCCTTAAAAAAAAGGCCAAGTTAGGGTTAGGGTTAAGGTTCGGGGATGGGGTTGGGAAGGAGGGTGGCGCTGTGGAGGGAAGTGGGGAGGGATGGTCTAGGAGGGTTGTGGGTGGGTGGTGAGGTGGCAGTGGCGTCGTCGGTGCCACGGGGTTAGGAGGTGACAGTGGGCCAATATTGGTGGCATGGGACAAGTGAGGAGAAATGGAGGGAGGAGGCTGACGGGGCAGGGACACTGGGACACGCTAGCATGTTGATGCCTTTCGGTGCCAGTGAGACCGAGCGGTTTCACGGTGGGGGTGATGGTGGAGACAATTATTGACTTGGTGGTGAAGCTTGCTGGAGGGAGGCTGCTCGTCCAAGACTTCTCGCGTCGTCGTGTTTACGGATGGACAAAGCTGTTGAGAGCGAGAGAAAGAAGATAAGATAGAGAGAGAGGAAGATATGGGGAGGAGGCTAATATGCTGTTGGGTTGTCGAAAAGCGTTCACGGGCTGCGAACGCTAACCCATTAGCCTACATAACAATGGGTTTTACGCACGGATTGATTCATCCAGTCAGTTTTCTCTTAACTTATGGTTTGTTGACTGAGATATGCCATTATTTTGAGAAAGGCGTAAGATAAAGGCCTATTTGGCAAGGTTCAAACTTCTCAATCTAACTCCAGGAGCAAATTCTGAAGTGGAGCTGTTGAGCAACCCAAAACCCGCTTCACCTTTATAGTTCATTTTTTCATATCACTCTAACCAACTTCACTCCCATTTTGGTGGAGCTGAAACCATTTGTTTCTGAGTTGGAGTTGAAGCCCTACCAAATAGGCTCTAAATATTTATAGAAAATATGTAGTATAAACCATATATGTAGTGCAAACTTGAAAACTAAGGTAAGATCCAAAATGCAGTAATCTAGGAGTAAAAGTTTTATTCATGTTGAAGTGGATAAATCTCAGACGTTAATTTTGGATATTGTAGTAGTTTTCAGGTATGCACTGTCTATGTGGTTTGCACTATATATTGTAAGATTTGCTTTTATGTTTGTTTGGTTTAGTCTTAGACATATTCAACAACCTCATAATATAATTTTTTTTGTTGAAATGAGTGCGTGTATTTCAAATGTTGTTACAACAAGAGTTTTATGAAGAACAAGACAACATTCACGTTACAAATGGAACATGAGTTAGAAAACTAGTAGTACACAAACACATCAATGGTTAGTAAAATAGGATAACATCCCACTAGTCCTCACACATAAGAACAGGTAATGTTGAAGTCATAAAAAAAAACTACATATGTTTAGACTTTCGACTCCAACCATAAATCATCAGCTGATAACATCGGCAACCATCTCGATTTTCTCGGTTTTTCAAAAAAAAATTTTGCCTCCTCGGAATAGGTGACTCGTATTTTTATTCTGCACAGAAGCTCCTCGATTGGGCAGGTTAACCGACGATGTTAGGTTTCTCAATCATCGGGACTGTTCATGGATGCTTGCGCCATGCCTAGTGTCCGGTTTAGTTGACTAGATGTGGATAGCCCCAGCGTGCATGCGTGCCATAGAGAGCTTTGCATTTTTTTTCATATATGCGCGTGATACAATGAAATAGCAAAGCAATGCTCCCACCACTTGCACTTTGTCGTAATGTTTACAAGATAACTCTAATTTGTGCGTGAAATGTAATGTGAACAACAGAAAATTCGATTTATAAGGACAATGTTGTAATCATAACGATATGAGGGCATTCTCAAAATAAAAAAAAACCGTCCAATCATATCCTTAGCCGGTTGCCTACTCATCCACGCAACACCTTCATTCCATCTGCCACTCGATGTCCTCCTCCTGTCCCCACCACCGCCCTCCTTCCTCCTCCTCCTCCCCCCTATCAAGGCTTGTCGGCCGAGCCGCCCCCATGCACATGACGCTAATCGGTAGATCGGGCCAATGGGGAAAGATCTGGTATTTTCAATAAGGCTCAGAGGAGGATCAAGGCGTGGTGATGTCCCAACTTGTGGCGAAGGAGAGGCGCCGCGGCTGACACTCTCTCTCCGAAAGAGGAGGAACACGGGTAACGGGGAGGTGGTAGGTGGAGGAAGCACGGAAGGAAATGAGGTCGACAATGGGATGCTCTAGCCGAATGAAGGGGGCGCCGCCACCATTGCCATCACTGTGCTGTTGCTGCGGCTTCTGGCTCTCATGTGTATTATGTCATCGCGACTCCTTTGGTCTCCCTTATGCTAGTGGCAAAGCCATAAATTTTTAAAGAACTAGTTGATACCCCGCACTTTGTTGTGGGATATATATAGATAAATGCATGTTATATATATTATATAAATGGTATATGTATATGTTTAAATAATGTAGATAATGATTTGACAATGCTTGCATATTGAGTTCTTAAAATACAACAAAATTGTAAATGACATATCATGTTTGTGTGATATTTAAAATACTCTAGATAATTATTGCTAGTGGGTGATGATGCCGCACACTTACATGTGATTTTTTTTTGAGGGAGCAGGCAGGGAGTTCCAGCAATTCATTATAGAAGAAGAGAATTGATCTAGTTTATAAGGGAAACCGAACCCAAAAACCTTACAACGACATGGTTAATTTGTGGAAAACCGGCGAAAACAACAAGCTAAAACTAAAAACTAAGTATATCTGTCCATCAAGGAAAAAACTCCTAAAACGATGCCTTCAAGAAGGACATGCCGACCGAACGGCGACATCACCCGATCATACGAATCTAGGTTTTCACCCGGAGAAACCCCTTGATGTGGAGATAAGGAGGGCTCCAGTAGCAACGCCTTCAAGAAGGTGAACGACGCCCGAGAGCGTTGTCATTGCTAGCATTGGCAAGCCGGGCAAGGATTTCACCTCGGAGTCTCATCCAAACAAAGCAACCGCAATGGAAGCCACCAAATGCCACCTACACACCAAAGGTACCTGTTCTATGCACACAACCACCTGTACACCGTTGACGACTTGCTTAGCCACCACGCTAGACCGGTGGAGCTCGTCGGTGCCACCCGGACTCCACTACCGTCGGTCCGCACTGGCCTCACGCTAGAAAGCGCGGAGCCGCTAGAGAGGCGCCGGATCTGGGCTTATGTGGCCAGATCCGGCTGTCCCCGCGCAGCCCTCGCCACCGGACCGAGACGAGGAGGCCGCCGATGCCAGGTGGGGAGGAGGCAGGACACTGGATGCCCCAGATCTGGAGGAAAGGAGGGATGGAGAGAAGAGAGGGATGAAGAAGGGGAGAGGAAGAGGGAGGGAGGCGCCGGCGCCACCGGCACCGCCTTCGCTGGTGGCGGCAACAAGAGCGGAACGCGATTGGGGAGCCCCGCGCACTCAGGCAGTCGCCTCCGTGTCGCCCAAGGCAAGCGGCACGGGAGTCACGGGAGGAGGAAAAGCCCATGTGATTTAAAATACTCTAGATAATAATTGCTAGTGTGTGATGACGTGACACACTTGCATGTTGATCTTTAGAAGTTGGTGGTCATCATCTTTATAGTAAGATCGGATAGGGTTAAGATAGGATTCAACTATTGAAATGTCAGTTTTCTATAAAATTTGCATGGTGATTTAACAAAATGTAAACAAGAATTTTGAGGCAGTCCTAGGGCTCAAGCACCAGCTATCCTAGGCATGCCTCCTTCTCTTGTCTTATTTTAGTAAATTATAAGGTTTCTTCCAACTAAAATATTTAGAGGATCATGTCCATTTATTATGTGGTCTAGGATTTTGTTTATGAGGTTCTCAATAAAGATCAGGGATTGTATCTATATCAAATTGCCAAAGATCCAATTGGTCACTAAAGATTTTGGGCCTAGGATGCTCAACTATTTGGTGGTGATGTTTTAGTAGTTTGATAGAGAAATGATGTCGGAGAGGCTCTTCGGACCTCCTATTATATTTGAGATATGAAGTGAATAATTCAAGTCATCAAACAAACATAATGAAATATCCGACGCCTCGAGAGAAGAATATTAGAGACATTGCTAGGCATTTAGCCTGCCAGTCAACTTCAGCGTGGGATGTGCCCGTCAAACCACTCGAAGGCGGCGACCAGATGTGTCACACATTCAGGAGACTTGACAAAAAATGGCTACAGATCTACAACATCTCAAATATTCTTAACTCATACTCATATGAATCTAGTTCCCAGGATGTGCACTAGATTCACACTTTCATCTTAAGCATGGATATACATAGCAAAATACATCTAAAACAAATAAAATTTAGATTACAACTACTTAATAGATACATGGGCCGACCGGCCAAATATAGCTATATTAGAGAACAGCGGAAGCTTGACTACCCAATCCTCAAGCACACCGACTAGGGGTTTACCTATTAAGTTTAAATCCTAGAAGAAGCAGTCGAAGCCCGCATCACTCAAATTAAACTAAGTCTATTCCTGTAAAACATAAATTAGACAAAACATGGCAAGACTCAGTACATTAATCAAATTAATGTACT